ATATTTACCTCTTCATGGTCTTTGTTTACAATTCAATTACTATTATTATTAACTGTCTCTTCCCCTTTGCTTAAAGTACATCAATGATTTGATTTAATTTGATATTTGCTTCTTCAATTTACCAAACAATTGAAATAAATATAAACAATTAAGACAATTATCATCAATTTTTATTGTTTTCACCTTAAATTTTTTCCTTCATGTTTACTTAAAGGACATTAGGTTAACCCAAATTTTTTAATACTAAATTAAATCTAATCTAAATCACAAACAGTTACGTTTGAATATTTTTATATACAATTAACAACTAATTGAGTCTCAATTACATTTTGTAAATCTCATCCTGTTGGCTTCGGTTTTATGTATATTATTTGTACTTTCATCAAGGTAAATGATGTTTTTTAATGTATTATCATTGTTAATAGTTGGTATAAGTAGTAGCATCATCATCATCCTTAAAAGCGGGAAACTTGACCTCATCCAATTGTAATTTCCAACCTGGTGACTGGTTCCAATCCTTGTGTTACCTGTAGACGTGAGGGCTCACCCTCTCTCTTCCTCCCTCTCTCTCCCCATTCATCTTTTTAATCATCTTAACCCTCTAATCATTATCCGAGATAATACTTGATTTAACGATAAAATTTAAGTAAACAATCTGCTGCAATTTTTAAATCATCATCATCATCTGTTGATTATTATCATTCATCAACAGCGAGATTTTTTTTAATAAAATCTGATCAACTGAAACTGTTCAACTTGATTTGCTGCCCAATTGAATGTCCAGTTTGTTGATCGTTAGCTTGATGGTCAAAGTTAAATTAATGTTGGTGGTGACTTCTCATCATCATTATCAAATTAAAACATGCAATCATTTGATTAAATTTACATGCAATTCACGAATTGAAGTAAAATATTACAAAATCAACTCAATTAACAAACTTAATTTACCTTTATTACGATAAATTAGTCAAGAATAATGATAATATCTACTCATAAAACTTGTAACCTTTTCCTCATCTCATCTGCTTTTTTTTCATTGCCTTGGGTTGTCAGTTTTTTCATCCTCATCCTCATAATCCCTTGAACAGTTATTTTCACGTTGTGTTGATTTAATTGTCGTTTTTAGGTAAGATTAGTTGACCTTAGTTTCAACACTAAATTCAAGTCTCTTTTTTTGCTTTGACTGTCTCTTAATTGTCAACTCTTGACCCAATTGTAGTTTTCTGTTCTGGACCAATTTCCGTTGATTCTGTTTGGTGGTTCTGATGAAATTGTCGGTTTATTCAGTACCCAAAACTATGAGGTCCAAAACAATACAACAATCAACTAACATCCAAAAAAAACAGTAGCAATTTAATTGTAATTAAAATTGTATTTAGCGAGATTAACATAATCGTTTAGTATCTTTGGATTAGTTAATTTTTTCTCGCTAATTAATTACCACAAATAGAAATGATTTGCTTTCTTTAATTATTCCCCAATTATTGTGATGTTAATTTTAATTTTCTTCACGATTCTCAGTTGACTTTTCCTTTATTATTGTTGGTTGATTTTGATTATTAATTGGATTGACTTTTCAATCAATCCAATTATTCTGGCTTTTGATCAATTCTAACACGATGAAATTGTTATTGATTAAATGTCCGTTAATCAAATTTAGCTCTGTTATTGATGATTTAGATTCTAATTATTGTAAAGTTTATAATGAACACTTAAGGAAAGGAAAAGGATGTTGACTCTTTTTTTCATCTTCTTTTATCATCTTCCATATACGAAATGTTAACAAAAAGATCAACTATTTACAGGTAGAAATCAATTGAGCAAATCAAATTTAATTTAAAGTAATCAAAGGATCAGAAAAGATGAAAAAATTGATGAAAATCCGAAAGTCATCTCTTTCTTTTTTTAAATCTCTTCTTTTCTTGTCATTCACTTTCGTTGACTTTACTATATTTAAGGTCTTCTCTCATCATCTTCATCTTCCAACAATTTCGGGAAGTGATAATGTCGATTGATTAGTTTGATTCAAAGTGAGTTTTAAGACGAGAAAGAAAAAATTATTTCTTTTCTTCTGAATTTCAACTCATTCTGATTGAAGAAACTTTTATTTATCGACTTGATTAATACACTTTACTCACGGTCCTTAAATTAAACCAAATCTACTTTTACAACCATTATCTTCATTATCTTCATCCTCATCCTTATAATCATCATCTTATCATCAACACCAACTCCCATCTTCATATTCAGGCCGATATCAAGTTACTTTACCTTTTTTGTTGGTTATTCTTATTATTATCATAATAACTGCCACCATGATGATGAACAAAAGTTCTGAAAAAGGTAAATCACTGAGAGAGAGAGAGAGAAATGATAATGATGATAAAAATAATCAATCCTTGGATTTATCAATGACAATATAAATTGCGGTCGAACTAAATTGTTGATTAAAATCAGTCAACCAAAGTTACCTTTTTTTTCTTGTGAAATGCAACAACAATCAACGAAGAAAAAAGTCTTAAACCAATATTATGATTACATTTAATTTACTTTTTACTTTTGATTAACAATTGAATTAAATTGTTAACGAAATAAGTGGAAAAAATTAATATTCAAACAGGATTAAGGAGCTTAAATTGTAACTTCGTCAACTTTTAAATCCACATTCACTTTTGTTTGTGACTTTTTACCTGTTACACTAATCCAATTGTTGCTGGTTGATTGTTGATCCATTTGGTGTTTGATTGTTTATCTAATTGTTTCAATCAACTGGTGACCATTTTTCTTATCCCCTTCATGTCTTAATTGTAAACAATTTTTGATATTTTTCTTAATTGTCTAATCGTTAAGAGGATTATCAACCATTCAAATTGTTGTTGTCAACCAATAATCAACTGACAGTTTTAAACAGAATCAAAATGATTTGACAATTTAAACAAATGTTTAATTGTGATCAGGTTATTATTATATTATTATCATCAATAAAATAATGATAATCGATTGTTGGAATTGATTGAATTTAATAATATGCTATTATCTTAATTATTTACTTTGAATCAAATCAATTTTGATATTATCGTTTCCAAATCAATTTATATACAACATGTTGATTGTAAAACTTTAAGCTTCCTAATTAAATTAACAATTTACAATTTATCATTGAAAGTTGTAACCATTTAATGATAATTTAATGATTGTTGATTGTTGGTCAAACAATTTGTGCATCCATCATGATCAGTATCAGATAATTAAAGTTAAACAATTGTAATTGTTGATTAACTTGATGATGGTAATATTTAATTCATTGGTGTAATTGTTTAATCAAACCTAGAATCATAATGATTAACAATTTACTAAATTGTGACTTTCTTAATCATTTAAACCCTTTTGATTGTAATAGATTAAGATAATGACTGAGTAAATCTTGTCCATCTAATTGGCTGATAATTATGTTAATCATAATGTGAATTTAAATTAACCTGTAAAAAAATTAATGATTAGTGAAAAAATAAAAGTTATAATAGTTTGATATTCAGTTAATTGTTGATTTAGTTATGAACTGGTTAAGTTATGATTGTGTGATTCATTAATTAATATGAATACAATTTAGTTAAATCATCATCATAATCATGATTACAAATGAAAAGGTTATATTGATCATTACAATTATTGATGATTCGGTTTATTGTAACTAATCATTAATTTGATTGTTACCAATATTGAAATGATTAAAGTTAACGATCAACAGGTAATTATGATTGTTTTTCATTTTAACGATTATTATTACAAATCTGTTAATCTGATTCTGTTTAAATCTTAATCATTTCAACCTCTCATAAATCAACATGATTTTAATGGTTTACCAATGTGGATTAAATTTAGAATCATCAAAAAATCAAATCAAATTGTTGATTGTTAATCATGATTGTAGAGTTAATTTGCTGTCAAATAAATTGTTGTCACGGGCAAAGAATCAAACTTGATAATCTACCTACGATAATTTCAAGATGATTACAATTAGTGAATCAGACTGATGATTAAAAGTAATTAATAATAATAAATTTGGTTCAAAATAAACAATTTCAAGATGAAAAAAGTAATGATATTCAAATCATAATCAACTAATCAGCTGATAGATTAGCTGATTAACTTTCTCTCTCTCATAATTTACCTGATACTTTGTTAATTGTGAACAATTAACAAAATCTAATCAATTCGAGGGATAAAATTAGATTGGATAATGACTCTAATCAGCTTGTTCTTGACATTTTGAATAATTAACAAGTATAATCGAGGATCGTTAATTAACTGGTACAATTAATTTGATTGTGTTCAAATTTCTGTTATTACGTTCATTAATATAATCGTGGATTGGAATCAATTAATTGTTTGTTAATTGTTTCTCTTGGAGTTATCATATCTGTTGTGATTATCTCTTTGAAAAAAAGAAACAAAAACATTTCAATTATCAGATTAAACTTCATAACAATCAATTACAATCATAATTACTGGATTAAGGTCAATGATTAACAACTGATCTTGACAACAATTAACATCAATATAATGCAATTAAAATGATTTAGAAAGTTTTTGTTTATAGTCTCTAATGATTGAAATCTTTTCTCAATCAATTGATTAACAAATTGTTGATTGACAATTTTGTTAACAATCAATTGCTGGTTCACCCAATTGATGAACATCATTAATATAAACATGAATTGTGATTGATTGAAAAATGTTTGATCTAAATTGTTTAACTCTAATCACGGTTAACATTATGAGAAACAATTTAATCTAATTGTGATTATCTACTTAATTACCTAACCTTTAATCTTGTCTTAATCTCTTCAACCAGAATATTAATCCATTTGATTTTGAAGATAAACATTCAGCTGATAAATTAGTCTAACGTAATTGGATTAACCTTTCATACTAATTAGTTTTGATCAATAATTTAAATAGTGCAACTAAATCAACTTCTAGTATCTCACTAATCAATTGAATGTAACTAAACCATTAGTAAATCAGTTAAGGATTAAGATTAATTTCTGTGATGCAATATTGGATTAATATGTTTCTACCTAAATCAACAAACTATTAAAATAAACTCTAAATTGTTGCTGATTGTTTGAACCTGATTTACTTGTACTTTGTAAACTGTTGATTCCCTCGTGAACAGAATCTAAATTATCACAGTTAATTGCTTGTAATCACAATTAAGTTAACCTTTAACAATGAACAGAAAAAAATATCCAGATTAAGATGATGGTTGAGCCTTAAAGAGATGAAAGTTTTTCATTCCCAAATCTTAATCCTTAATTTTTTGCTTTCTAATTGAAATCCTCTAATTAAGAAAATAAATCTAATTACAATTGTTGTGAAAAAATCATCGAAACAATTAACTAACCATCTTTAATCATTTTACCATTCGTATGATTGTAAATAAAGTTTATAAGGTTCATAACCTGGAAAACAAAATGTATGGTGAGATTACTGGATTAGTTAATTGTAGATAATTAAACAAATCGAGTATACGAAGAGGTAATAATAAACACTATTAACTGTAGCAATCAAATTAATTATTAATTGTTGGTTGAGAAATTGTTTCCTTAATTTCTGTTACTATGTTATTGCTTTTATTGGTGATTTGAATATGATGATTTTCTTGATTCAATTTACAATTAACTTTTTCTTATAATTAAATTACTCAGGTAATAGATTTTGATAATAATTAAGTAAATTGTTATAACCACCAAGACAATTGACCCAGAAAAAAAAACAAAAGGAAAGTTGGATTAGATTTAAATTGTTTATTGGTTTAGTTGATTGTTGATGTTTTTTTTTATGATTTCCTCTTTTTCATTAACAATTATAATCACATTTAATTGTAACGGTAACATTGTAATTCAATATTAATTTAATTGTTTGGCGATTTTTTTATGCGATTGTAAAACTGTTTATTATAAACAATTAACTAATCACGACCACACTGATATATAAAAAAAGTTATTACGATAAACAAGGTTAAAAGATGATCAAATATCAGAATCATCATCAAGATGATTGTTCAAGTTCAAGGATGATTAATACAAGGGATTAACATGAAAAGTGACAATTAAAAGTTTTTTAGATTAACATGTCAAAATATAATCAAGTTAATATGTAATCACTCATAACAATTAAGCCTAAATTGTTGCAATAAGAGTAAAAAAATGGAGGGAAAACAATAAGAGGCTTTTAAACAAAAATTCAACTGATGTCATGAAGGTTATGATCTTATCGGATTAATTGCTCAGGATTAATTGTTTGAATGTCATCAGCAATTAACAATTGATATTAGTCATGAATGATTTAGTAATTTGAGTTTTATATTTGTAGAAAGAGCAAAAAATAATCAAGTTATCAACGGAATTACAGTTAAGAGATGGTTAAGGTCAATGTTGTCACTTTAGTTACTTTTGTCAACTGATTTATTATTACAATTAACAGCAATTAACGATTTAAATTGTTCTCTTAATATTTACAATTTTAATTGTTGAACGGAAATGCTGACCTAATGTTATTTAAATAAACAGGGTCACCTGATTGGTGAACAATTTTGGTGCGAGTTGATTATTTAAATTGTTTCTGATTCAATGTTTAGTCAGTTAATCAAGTTGATCTACTGATTTAGTTAAATTCACTCCAATTTTGCTTAACCAGTAAATTTCTAGCGCCAACAATTGAGTTTAACTAATTTAAGATGCTCAATGATTAAGTTTTTGTCATTGTTTGTTATGTTAACAATCAGTTAATCTACTAAAATTAAGTTAATGATTTAATAATGGAACAGTTAATTTCTTGAAATAATTCAATTGTCTTGGGTTTGGTTAATTGTTGTTGTTTCAAAGGTAAATTGTTATTATAATTTAAAGCAACATAACAGTAACTTTATCTTATTGTTAATTGTTGTTATATTAATCAACGAAACTAAATTAGTTCATTCAATTTACCATCAACAAGTTGAGAAGATGAAGAAGAAGAAAAAATAAGTTAAATTAAATTCAATTTAATTTAATCAACACCATTATCATCTTAATCACAATCAACTTTAATCCATTTCAAATTCTGAAATCTCGTTTCTTAATTGTTTCACCTTAATCTAAAATAATCATCATGATGGTTAATGTTGATTTAATTCAGTTTCCCTACGATACTTTTATTGGATTATTATTATTCAACAATTAAATGTTTTCATCTAATAATCAGATCTAATTGTTGGTTTAATTCAATTTGAGAGCCATATAAACAATCAGAATAATAATCAACTCAGTGTACTTTTGATGATTTACTGATTTAGTTTCAATTGTTTTGCTCCATTAACATAGAGAGAGAGAGAGAAAGTTTAATACAATTAACTTTTCGGACTAACAATTGACACACAATTAAATCTAATTGTGTGTTTTGTGTATTTATCCCTTGTCATGATTAATAAATTAACATTATTATTAATTTGTGATAATTGTTAGAGTGTGAGAAATGACAATTTAAATTAACTTTGATGATGAGAAAATGTAAGTGAACAATTTGAAATAGTTAACCATTAGTGGTAACAATTTACTTTCTCATCAACAATTTAAATTCATTGGTTAATCAAAGATTAAGCTGAAAAAAATCAATTTCAATTCTGGAACAATTAAATCTAATATAATAACTACAATAAGCAAAATTGTTTTCATTTCACTAATTACGTTTAATTTTAATTGTTGACCGGAAGAGGATTGATTGTTATATATGAATTTCTAAATCAGTTGATCACAATTTAAACTAATTTGCAAAATTGAACTAAATTGTCTTAATCTTAGCTTAAAATTTTAGTTTCACACTTTCAAATCTTAACCCACAATTAGTTAATTGTAACTTTAACTGGCCAAAAAGATTTGATTATCATTAAGATTAATCATAAATCCTCGCCTTCATGATTTACTAATTCCGGGTGATTAAGATGATTATCAATGAAAAAAATTGTTAACCAAATCAAATCGACATCTCAACATCTAATCAACTGCTAACAATTAACTGATAATCAAGCCAACCCACACACAATTAATGAATTTGATTTAACTTTTTTTTTCATCTAATTAAACTGAATTAAATTATCGACTGTTAAATCAACACAGTTTGATTTATAAACGAGATGCAAGTAAATTGAGTTAATTGTTGATTCACTGAAAGTAAAAATTAACATTCACCATTGTGACAAAAGTTAATTGTCTGATTGAATTGTATTAATAAGTACAAAATTAAAGGTTGTTGTCAAATTGTTAGTTGAAACTGGTAGTTGATTAAGTTGCAATTAATTAATTTACAGTTTTCTCAGCTAATGAAAACCCATTATTCGAGAGTAACAATTTAAATTGTTTCGTCCATTTTAATGGTTGGCTCATAATTAAAATCATCGGATAACAATTGGTTTCACTTCCCGGTTGTATTTTCATTGAAACAATTTACTTAATCATTATAATATTTTATGTATGATATTTAATTGTTAAATTACTTGAACCTTGTCAATCTTAATGACAATTAAATCAAACTAATAAAACAATATAAGGCACAGCAATTAAACTTGGGTCAGTTGCTATTATCAAATATTAACTTTGTTTCAAACCGAATTAATTATTTCATTAAACAGAACAATTTAACTTTAATTAGGTTTATTTAAATTAATCCACAGCATTCGTAAGCATCTGTTTACCTTTTCGATCATTCGTTTCTGGGTTACCCTGTTTTCGTTAATAATTAAATCACTTTTTGAAATCCTCAATAATTCATCTTATTTACTAATTGATTTATTGTCGATTTCTTTTGATTCAATTCTATGTATTAAATGATTGGAGTTTTAAATGGTCAATTTGTGTAACTGTGTGGTCAATTTCTATTGATTTTCTGTCTTAATTGTTGAATTTTTTCAACGTTTAGGATTAATTTTTTTCTCTCAACAAAAAAGTTTTAATTTTAAATGTCACTGGGTTTGATTATGAGCTTTTACAGTTTCTTTTTACAGTATGATAATCATAATTGACTGAATTCAGTTGGTTGTTTATTTTATAATCAACTGATTGCAATTACTTTTTGGTGGGCTTACAGTTCGGGAAAAAATTAAACAAAATTTGAGATGGTAAAAAAAGTTTTATCACTTTGGAAAAAGTTTGATGATTGTAGATTAGGAGATCGATTAAGATTCCAAGTATTTCTTGATAAAGGCCATTTTATCAGGAGATTCACTGAATTGACTGAACATTTTCACTAATCGATCTTGAAGTTGAGGTGGAACTTGGGGGAAAAGGTTACTTAGGACATCTCGTCGTTTACGGCCAGTGACGGTGGTTGTTGATGCCGGTGGAACAAAACTGAGACCTGAACCAGAATTTCCAAGGAAAAGTGAGAAAAGGAGAAGAACCAATGGGAATCCAATTATTCCAATTCCAAGAGCAATTAAAAGACCGATTGCAATTGCTTCTAATCCACCGGTCAAGGGAGCGACTGATGCCCCATAAGGTGTATAAGGTGTTCCCATCCATTGGCGAGGATCTCGTTCGTAATCATAATAAGCATAAGGTGTATTGTAGGCTGTTAAATTAGCGGCAGCGGCTTTTGGTACACTGGCGAAGGCCAATTGAGATAAACTAAGATGAACAGCGATGGTGAAAATAACTAAATCTCCTGGAATAAATCAACAGATCACAAACACAAACAGAGAAAGAAACAAAAAACAAGAAATGATTAAACTGCAATCAACAATTAAAGAGAAAGAGAATCAATGAAAACTCACCCAAAACACGAATTGTAGACATTCTAATTTAGTTAATTGTTGCTGTTTTAGTTGTCGAAATAAAGTGAATTAAGTGTTAAAGATAATCCAAAATGTTCAATTCTATCACTAAATGATGTTCACTGTTAGATTGATGAAGATCAACTGATACTTTGATTTGAACATTTCGCCCACTTATATACCTGTGATTCCAGGATCCTAATTGTCAATAATTAACAACAATAACAAAGAGATGGGTTAATAATTGAAAGGGAAAGATTGAGAAGAAGTTGAAAAAAAGGATTTACCTTAATGATTAAAGGTAACATTGAATTCACAATAAGATGTTGATAAAGATGAAAATCCGCTTATACTTTTCATGGGTTTGTTGATTCTCATTGATTGTGATTTGTTTTGATGAGAAAATTCAAAAAGAAAGAGAAATTTAGATCAATCTAGATAAAGATTATGACAACAATTAACTGAAAAGAGACAACAATCAGTAAATCAGCTTGTTCTCCTCCTTAAATCAGGGCAATATGATTATTCAGAAATTCAATCAACTAACCAGCTAATTTTTTACTCTCTTTTTAACTTTCCTTTATATGATCACAATTAATTTCTCTCTCATCATCATCTCTAATTATGTTGCTGTTTCTATTTCTTAATCACAATCAACGGTTGGTAGATTATATTCAAAATTATTAGTCCGGGTTTATTGTTATCCAGCGTTTGTCTCTTGGTTGCAATTGGAAACAATTTAATTGTTCTCATCCCAATGATTAATTAAATAGTATCTTCTTCATCACCTCAACATCCTAGGCTTGTTAATATTAATTGTTAATGTAAATTATTACCTCGATATTCAATAAGTAACAATATTTAAACTGTTATAATAAAGATCTGTAAGTGTTGAGAGTATTTATAAAGTTAATTGTGATGAACAAGTTTAGGGATGGAAACTGAATTAACTTAAATTGTAATTTAACGGGAAGGGTTAAATTGCTTGGGGCAATTTTCACTTTCTCAGTTGATTAGAAAAATAATATTCTGGATTCACAATTAACTGGAATAGTTTGACAGTCAATTGTAATATTTGGTTAACAAAACTAATTGTGATTTAGATGATTTCAAATTATAATAAGCCTGATGATTGGTTAATAGTGACAATTTAAATTTGATTGTTGTCTATTGATCAAAATCCGATATGATTGTAAACCAGAAATTAAACATTTCTAAATAATATTTATCATGATTACTTGATAATCAAAAGATCACTTTTTTGGTTAACTACTGATTGTTGATTGTTGTAAATCAAATTGACCTTTTCTGAATCGGTCATCATTGTTGATAATCACAATAATAATGATCAAATGATAATCATAATAAGACACGATTAGATGATTTAAATGAGATTCCTGATAATCCAAGATACTAGATTAAGGTTGAATGATGATGAATCTAGTTAATCCGGTTTTGATTTTCCTTAATCATAATAGGTAATCATAATAATAAACGTTGATTATCAGAAGCGGATCTATTATTATTTGAATTAACATCTTCACCCTGAAGCCATAATTGTTTGATTAACTGTATCCATTTAATCAGTTGAATGTAATGATTAACTAAACAGTTACCCATTGATTTAATCAGCTTACCTTGATATTGTTACAATTTAAAGGTCAGTTTAATAGTTTACAATCAATTTTGATTGTTTCCACTATTTAATCATTGGCATTATCGGTGAAAAAATTAACATCAACATCAAGATGATTTGTAAATCTTGGTAATAAACTGATCAGTACGAATCTTAATTGTAACAATTAAAATTTTCTGAATTTATTTGAATTTTTAATGGTCACTAGCTGTTTAATAATCAATATATTTTTTTTTCACTAAATTATCATGAAAATGGTTATGTTAATTGTTATGATTTAGCTCATCATTAACCTCATCATGATCGTTAACTAATCACAGAAATCCAATTGATTGTTTGATATGAATTAATGAAGGGAATGAGTTGATTGTAATAAAAGTGAAACGATTTTCATTACAATTGTTTATGATTATTATCAATTTAAATCATGATTAAGATTGTAAACTACAACATTGATTGGATTTCATCAAATCTATTACCGATCGTGCCTCACGATCAATGTTAATTGTTGTCGTTCAATTGATAATAACACAGTGTCAAGGGTAACAATCAAGTTACAATTATTTTCTGTTCAATTTTCTACTACGATGATTTATAAATGATAACTTGATTGTAACAGTTTATCAAAATGATGATTGAATATTATCAACCCAATTAAACGTTGATTTTACCAACAATTTATGATTATCTGGTCATACGGAAGCAGACGGACACGATTTTGATTCACAATTAAGAATAGTGATTAACTTGAAGAGACAAAATGAATTAATAATTAACTTTATTGTAGAGTTAAGTGTTATTATCATTTCCTAGCAATTGACCAATTGAAAGTCACAATTTACTAATCATTTGTCTTTATCCAAACAATTGATTTGGTAACAATAACCAATAATTTTCAATTCATTAGTTGAATAAACTTTCAGTGAAATGATTAAAATTTATGATGATGATTGTCACTGGTAATTTAATAATTTCAAGATAAATTCAATTTAAACACGATACAAACAGAAATTAATTGTAACAATTAATCTTAATCACCAGAAAGCAATAAGGGTCAAAAGTTATCAGCCAGAATCTATTATAATATTGGGTGTTAGTATTGATTAATTTTTGTTATTCTAATTCATCATTACGATGATTAATTGATTGTAAATTAAGTGAGGCTACAATTTAATGATGATCATGTTGATTCATAAATGTTCATCTGAAAAAGGGTGTGAATCTTATAGACTTGACACCTTGAATTGAACGTAAATTTCATGATGATGAATAAGTTGCAACATGAATATCACCTTGTTCATCATGTTCATCTATCTTATATCTTGAAAATTTGATAACTTTAAAAGCTTTGACCTTGAAGGGTCATCATTATTTTCTTGAAATGATTGAACGAAATTCAGATTAATCATGAAAATAGAATCGTATCTTATTACTATTCTTGGAAGATATTGATGAAGATAACGATGATAAAGATGATAAGGAGCATGAAGATTTCTCCATCATGATGAGATTACTACAAATTGAAAAAGAAAAACTGAAAATTTTTTTTCTCGATTGATGATAAATCTTAACGATTCCCAGTTACATTGATTAACAATCAGTATCTTGTAGTTACATTAACGTAACAATCAATTGTTAATCATCATTCATGATTGTTGTCCACTGTTTAAATATGATTATTGTGATTATCCTTAATCGTTGGAAACAATCAGCTCTCAGCTTCTTTTATTTTTACCTTCCTTCCAATGTTATTGTTGTGATTTTTTTCTTGCTGATTATCAACAATCAAGGTTACAATTTGCAACAAGTTAAAGGTCACTCATGATTATGATTATAATCACAATCAATATTATGTATTCTGAATTAGTAATGTTAATTGTTGCTCACATCTAATCACTATGAGTGAAAAAAAAGGAACTCGAAAACAATTTTTTCGATCGCAGGGAAATGAAACAGTTAATTGTTCACTAATTTCTGAATTTATATCAACTGATTAACCGGAGCTTGGGATTATCTTAATTGCTGTGCTGTTTTTTTCACTTTTAACATTGAACAATCAGTGATAATTAACTGTTTCAATGGTTAATCTGGTTTACCTTTTTGTGGTGAAAACAAAAAAAAATTGATATTGAAAAGTTAATTTTGTTATTTTTTCTAACCAAATGATTAGTTAATTGTTGGGATAATTTATTATTTTTATCATATCGATTTGAAAGATGTGTCTTACAATTAGCTAATTGTTATTACCCGCAAGGTTATCTCATAATCATTATCAAGGTTAATCATTATTGATGATTATTGTTGATGTTACTGATTTAGTTTCATCATCTAATTTAATTGTCGTAATTAAATACTTTCATTTTAATCATCTTAACTCGTTCACTAATCAAAAGTTACACAAACAATCAATTCACTAATTCAATATCCCGGCTCTTACTCTTAATTCAATCAAAATTAATAATTTACAAACTAATTATTATCATTTCATATTAATAGTAACAATTAATAATAATGACAATTTAGACTGATTATCTCATTGATTAATTGTCTGGTTCAATCAACTAATTTATGTTACAATTAATTGATGACCAAGTGTTGTAATAATTAAACATTGGAAAACTTTTTCATTCTCATCACAATTAATTGTGTTTTAAAGGCAATGATTAAGATTCTCATTGATTAAAATGAACTCAATTAACATTATTTTTATTCTTAATTGTCTCTCTTTCGATATCATTAAACTCTTTTAATTGTAACAATTAAGGTTAAAATTAAACTTTTTCTATCCATTCAAATCAATAATTGGTGAATAAAAAAAAAACTTTTCATCAACTTGAACTTTTTTTCGTAACATCTTAATTGTTGTTGATTGTTGTTAATTTCCTGGCCACAATTAAATCATCTTCAACCTTTTCTTATAATATTTCAATTTTCCTTCAAGTTAAATTCTGACCTTAAGTGACCAAATGATTAGAATTAACAATCAAATGATTTCACAGTAAAATCTGAACAATTTAATAATTGTAAAGTCCAAAAAATGTATATTAATTAATCAATGATGATTGTTATTACAAAAATAGTTTACTAATTGTTATAAAACGATGTAATTATTAGTTTATAAGGGAAAAAGTTTACAATTGGATTTATTAATAAATCTAATTGTTATTTTAATGTAGCTTTTTGAAGACAATCAACTAATTGTTTGTGTTTTTTTCGTTGATAATTAACAGATATTCATGTTCATTGGGATGATTGTGCCCAATTTTTGGACACCTCTTCATGACAATGTGATCACTTGGTTTGCTTTAATTGAAGGTTTCCTTTTGCCGATATCTTTATATTTAACTGATGATAATTTTCGTGATGCCGTTAAACTGTCCTTCCGTCGGTCATCTGGTTCATCTGGTTGTTTGACCTCAAGTGGAGGTGGAGGATTAGCAATTAATCCATCATCATCCTCATGGTCGGAAAAATATGCTAAATCAGGATTAATAAACTCTAAATCACATCAAGGGTTTGCCTTTCATTATAATGATTTCGTCCTAATTGACAAACCTTACCTTGGATTAATGAAATCCCCTGAGGCTAAACGGAGCCCATCAACTTTAAATTTGGTCACTTCATCGACATCTCGAAGCCCTTATCCAGGTCGTCATAATCAATCATCAACTGATAATAGATCACAATCACAATTACATTTAAATTCAATTGTCGGTGGTGTTAATAGACATAATCATGGCTCATCACTATCGATTAACGCTGTTGGTGCAGCAATTACTAAATCATCTTCATCAATTGGTCTATTTGCTAATCATCATCATTATCATCAACCTCATCATCTAAAGGGACAATTATCCAGAAAAACGTCACATTTATCATCGTCCAACAATTATATCACCGAATTGTCAAAGAAGCAAACACAATCGGGATTAACTCAATTCAATCAATATCTAACAAATAATTCAACAATTAACTCACAATTAACTCGATCTGATGATTCTATCAAGAAGGAAAAAATTCCCTCTTTGGCAAGAATATCACCAATGACCTGGTCAGTTAATGGCGACAATTGGCATTTCTCTTCATCATCGACCGTTGACCGGAAGATGATGGCCTCGACCATGGAGTTGACCACTCCAATCGGTGGTGGACAACAGGATAATCAAGATGATACTCTGATAATTAATGATGATAATGACAAAGGAAGATTGATTGGGAAGAGTAAAAAGTCTGATGGTAAACGAAAATCAAACGAAGTGAAAGATTTTAACAAAAAAGAGAAACAATTAAACAATTTAATCAACCATTCTAATCGTTTCAACAATCAAGATGATGATGATATTATCGATGATGATGAGCATATTTATGCAACACTTAAGGTCAGATCAGTTGGTGATTCTAATTCTGATTATGGTCGATGTAAAGATGCAATTAAATCATCGTCTCAACAACCACAATTAAGGAAACCAGAAAATTCAGTTAATTTTGATGATGATGCTTCAATTTCACAATTATCATTCACAACCAATGCTAATGATGATTTTGAATTTCATGATACAAGAGAATCTGGTTCAGCAATTTATACTAAATCAGATAATCTTGGTAATTGTCCAGCTAATGGTAAACAATTAGGGGACGTTGAAAGTGGTGAATCAACTTCATCAGGTGAAGATGTTTCAATAATTACAAGTGATTCTTGTTCAACAAGTGACTCCGAAAGTGACAATCAACCAACAACATCCAACCAAAAATCGCAATTAAATCAAAAATCATCTGTTAATTATATGTCTCATCAACAATTGTATCCATCCCGTGGTAATCACTATCATCTGCAACCAAATCGTCATCATTATTCATCACAATTAGCATTAACACCTAATCATCTTCATCTTAATCATCTTCAAATGGAGAAAGGAAACTTTTATGTTTCCAAAACTGCCAATCTAATTGCAGCCAATCCAATTTTAGGAGGATTAATTAATCGTAATAAGTCACGATCATCGTCCCAAATTGTTAATCCAAATAATATTCTTAATGGTAACAATCAGTTAGGAGGAGGAATAGGAGAGGAGAAACGCCGAGGGTGGCAGTTTTTTTCCGCCAGTGATTTGCATCTATTGGACACTAATAATGGACAATCAGTTAATCAATTACCAACTTCGTCGACATCAGTAATTAAGGAAAATCTTCCTTCGTCCAAACAACAGGACTCACATTTTATCAATCCATTGAGTAATCATTACTATTATAATGGGAAGGATAAATTGGCCAGTGGTCAAGTTACTGGTCCTAGTAAAGGAGTAATTGGCTCACGAAGGTCAATGAGTGAGACTAATTTATCACCAGGACGGACAATTAGTCAATTTATTCAACAACAGCAACAATCAATTTATGGTTCAAGAGATGCTGGATTATATCATTTGAACAGATCGACTCATAATAGGATTCATTTACCATTTGACCCTAATTATCCCGCTCATATTAATCATAATCAGCAACATGATACTAATTCAAGTGACAGTACAAATTCAAGTGGCAGTAGTTTTGGACCTGGTGATCGTGTTAATCGTAAACGATTTGCTAATTTAATTACTGGTGGTGAGGCTTCTGATCGTCGGTTAGAACGGATTAGTAGCTTTTCAAAAAATCGACCTCGAATTCGAGCTCAAAAGTATCAATTAAATCGTCGAGCAGCGGCAACTGCGGCCAAAAGACAGGAATCAATTAAAGAGCTATCGGTTGATTATCGACGTAATTGTGTTGGTTCACGTTTATCACTCACCCAACAGGATTTAATTAGTGGACCAAGTGAACAATTAGGAGCTTTTGTCAGTGTCAAATCAATGCCCGATTTAACAATCAACAGTTACCTGCCAATTTACAATCAATTGTCGTCAATTAACAAGCATTAAAGTTTTTTCTGTCACCCAACAAGATCGACAATCAATCGGATTTGATTTTAATCATCAACAATACAATTTAAATTGTCGCCATTTTGTTTGATTCCAGTTTTTTGTTTATCCTCATTGATTCAACGATATTACCAAATGCATCCTAATAATTATTAAGGATACGAATTAATTGAACTACTCTCATATTGGATAAGTCAATTTGTGCCAATTAATCCAATGATAAATTATAATTGTAATGTCACCATTTACATAACAATCAACTGATTTTCAGAGACCCAAATGAGTTTAACCCATTCGGTTGTCATTTTGAACACTTAAAATTTGAATTGCACTTTGTTTATATTGTAATATGAATTTTTTATACTATTTTTGTGTTTATTTAACATTATTAGTCCAACAATATAATTAAAATAAAGTTACAATTTATTTGGACTGATTAATTCATTATAATTGGAATGAAAGATTAGAATTGATCATTGACAACAATTTCTCTGTTCGAGTTGATGTTCAGAGAGATTCTTATTTTCTCCTTCTACAAGGCATTTCACCAAGTTTCCAAAAAGTTTTTCTTGAATAACTTTTTTGTTTTTGATTGTTGAGACCCCATACTCGAGTTATGGTAGTTTGGGCCATACTCAATTGTCATATTAAAATATCAAGGTCATTCCGGTCATTCTGTTAGGATAAGGTTTCAAGGTCATTTGGTGGACACAATCGATTCAAATTAAAAAAAACCTCATGTGCCTAAATCAAAAAGGTTTTTTTAATCTCACAGTCTTTGTTACGAGCAGATTAATGAAAGTTGAATAAAAAGGATTCCGCATCAAAAACACTATATCTCTGCAACTAAAAATGTACCCCGAGTGAGAATAAATTTTGAATTAATTTCATCAATAAGTAAAAGAGATCCTGAGATAATTTGTAACTATTAGGTCATTATTAATTCTTTCAACAATGAATGTCAACGATTAACCTGATGATTGTTTATTTTGATTTTTTATCAGTTTTATCAATTGCGACAATTTTTTATACTGATGAAAGGTAAGGAGAAATTATTGATTTCTTTCATAAAGATCATCTCGATTTGATGGTAAGTATTGTATTTATTTCTGTTGATTTAAACGACACATAAATGAGAATTTTCTACCAAATTTAAACCACAGTTTCATTGTTTGCTCCATCAATGCAGATTGATGATTCTCTCAAGTAAAGTCATTTTCATTGACTCGTAAATGTATTATCACAATATGCAGAAAGATCTTGAAGAAAATTAAACTCTCTACACTTCAGTTTAAAGTCAGGTAAGAAATGAGTTTTACAAAGACGAAAACTTTTCTTATTGATGAAATTAATTTAGAATTTATTCTCATTCGTAGTAGATAATCCATCTTGAAAATTTGACTGTAAACTGTGCTGCATTAGCTCATTTACTCGCCAATGCAAATAAAATTAAAGGCTTGAGCTGTATAGATTATCGATTTAAACTGAATCCCGAACGACACATCTTGAAAATATAAGAATAAAGAATAACATAGTTTCTGAGCGATATTCAATTATTGAATTAATAATGACCTGATACTAGTAGTTAGAAATTATCTCAGGACTTTTGGTGTTGAAAAATTGAAATGTCTTGGAAATTCTTTCAAGGTCATCTGAAGGTGATATAGTTATGTTCTCACATTGTTCATCCCTGGAAAATTAGTTTAGAGAATTTTGTTATCACAGTTCTTGAGATATTACAGTTTAATTGAATAACTGTTGCAAATCTCCTATCCAATAAATTCATCTTGACGTGCATAGTCAAGCTCATAGAAACCTCAAAATTTGCCATTAGTATCTCTGAACATTCATTACCTCCAGATGACCTTGAAACGCTCTCTTTCAACAATGCCCTTGATCTTTTTATATGACAATTGAGTATCGCTCAAACTCATACCACTCAAGTCTCGAGTCTCTTATTTGCTAAGAAAATCCCAAAAAACATTGGTAAAATAGCTGAATAGCCCTGTATTTCCACTCACTTGGTGTATTTTCATGATAAAATGAATTTTTGAGTTGATAAAATGAATTTGGTCTACAACGAACTCCTTTCAGTTGGCAAATTCTGTCACATTTCATTTTTCCCTTTAATTGAACTCATTGAATTTTCATGGTGACATTTTATTTATTATTTTTATTCATCAGTGTAAAGACAATTTTACACCTCGATGAGAGATGACGAGGTTTTATGTTAAAGAAGACAAATATATCACATGTAGGCTACATCAAATTAGTTTAATGATTGGTTTGTATTTGTGTTTACGTCTCATCAGATTTTACCAATTTTACGAAGAGGAAGAAACTTTTGTCGCTTTTGTCGTTTTTACCTCAGAAATAACCTTGAGGTGAAGGGCCACCGTTAAATGGCACCTGATCGGGCATCACTTGTGGGTAACCTCCCATTCGAGGAATGAATTGTGGGTGCATAGAACCATCGTTAATGGGAGCATTATACCTCGGCATTCCCATGTCCCCTGGCATTCGCATTCGATGATTGTTCATGTAATTATCGCCTGGATTCATGAATGGAGGTTGTTGTTACTGTTGTTGTTGTTGTTGTGGCGGTGGTGGATGTGGACCATTATCCATACGAGGGCCACCATAATTGTATGGGCTACAATTCATCATGTTGGCAGGTCTCATTGGTGGATCCAAGGGTCCTGGTCCAGGTTTTCATTGTCCTTTGAGTGGAACTCTCATCATATGGAGGAAATGAGTATCTTTGAGGGCCCTCTGAGTTCCAATCCTTAACCTAATTTTATATAAATTGGATTAAAATTGATTAACTAATCGAATAAATTTGTGTCCATAGTAAAGCGGCTACAGCTCTTAGGTAAAACATGCGACAATGAATGAAAAGTTTAAATGTTTTCTCACCATTTCCTATTATAATTTAAGAGATTCAGGATTACAATGTATTTAAAATAAAGATGTAATTGATGTTTGACTGATGAGGAGATTGTTGAATATGATGAATTGATGATTACGATGATATATTGTTAGCACAGTTCGATGGATGGATAAAGGATGAGGAAGAATAAATTGAATTTGATGAGTGATTACATTTTACTTGGCTTTTGCTTGTTTTCTTTTCATTTTCACTCCGGTCGGAAGTGGACCAAGCTTGAATACGGTATTACAGGTTGAGCAAATTGGTGAGAATGAGCAAAATATTGATAAACAAACGGAACAAACATAACCAATGTCCACTAGATTTCGATGACAAAAACAGGCCGCTTTGTATGAAACCTTTTTCTGTGAAGGAAGAACCAATTTTTTCCTAATTTCTGAGTCAGGTAACATTGCCCATATCAAGTATTCCAAAAAAGCATTAACATTGGCGACTCTTAAATAAATTCCATTGGTTAGATCGCAGCCTTGTTGAAATATCGACATGGGAATTTTACTTGCGATAATGTGTTTCACATCTTCTGGTTCATCGGGTGAGAGGACACACGAATCAATGATAATTCCCAATTTTTGAGCGGTGAAATAAACATTCATGAAATTCATATACTGTGAGGTGAAAGCGGTTGAATCGTAATTACTAGCAGCAATAACAGCCATTCTGGAAGAGTCAACATCAGCCTTGTGTCTTTGAATACAACACATTCCCATGGCCAAAGCACCAGAAATCAATGGCTGAGGTTTAATCAAATCACCATTTCTAGATTGATGAATTTCCTCCAGTAAAGATCTACATTGTCGAACAACTTTCTTTATCTGACTATGAATAGTTTTTGAGAGAATCGAGAACAGCTCATATTGACCATTTGTCGGTCCTTTCAGGTCACTTGAATCATCATTTTCGATTGGATAAAGAACCGTATTCCCATTACAATGTGATCCAATAACATGAAGCATATTTTCATTGTTCATCAACAAGTGAATATTACAAAATGAGATCAACGAGTTTAACCAAATCTCATAAGAGGAATCATTACGTTGTAGAAGGTACAGATTAGGTGATAGATCAATGATAATAATAAGATGAGTCCTTTTTTGCTTTTCTATTTCAACAACTTCCATAGTTAATTCAAAGTAATTAGAAAATAACAATTTGGGACTCACAAAATCATATGGAAAATAAATCAAAACAATCAATTTATTTTCCATTCGCAACACTACCGCCATCTATTGATGGAATAGAACATTAGACTTTTAATCTCTTTTTCAAAATCGATTTTCTTTTTTAATTTCTTCAGTTAAACTAATCCTTAATTGTTGGAAATTTTCAAAGTATTTTCTATTATTCAATTTGATGAATGAACTTGTTGGTTGGAGGAATTTTAGTTTGTCATTAATAGCTAATGAAAAGACAAAAAATTTACATCAATTAGTAATTTGATTGGAACAAAAAAAAAGTTAATTATTAATAATTAGAATGAAATTTTCTTTTATTGTCAAATTGATTTAACATGTTTATTTTTAGTTGATTGTTTCAGGATAATTAAGAAAAAAATGTGTTGATGATCTCGAATCTTTGGACAACAATTTGAATTAAAAGGTGTAAAACAATTAACGATAAATTAAGATTGTTAATCCGGTGATTTATTAATTTTGTGACATTTTACAAGTTTAAAGTGACTGAATGAGTTAAGTGATGAAGATGATAATGAATGAAGAGGAAGATCATGTCAGTGAATTACCATATGATTAGTTTACAGTTATAATTATTAATATATTGATCGCAATTAAATCAATACCTGATGTTGTTGAAGAAAAAACTTAAATTAAAGCAAAGAGGCAGAGAAAACAATTGCATTTGTATCAACTGGATTAAAGTAAACTATCATCAGTATGATTGAATTTGTGCTTTAAAATGGATAATAAAGGTTGAGAGGTGATTAGTGATTAATTAACTGGGTAATTAACAGAGAACCAACGACGATAACAAAGGTCGGTACCAGTGACGAACTGTGGTCTTTATTGCAACCATCGTCTTTGCAACAATAAACACAATCGTAAAAGTCCTTTGACATATCACATTGTTTTCGAAGATTGAAAATATTATCGAAAGCAGGTTCACGAAAGTTACATGGGCCAAGAGCACATCCCCTAATTACCTTCATCGGTTTATCTCCTGATGATGAGGATGAGGAACAGAAAAAAAAAGATGACGAAAAATCAATAATAATTACCATGTAATTAAGACGACAGATGATTATAATTACCTGATTTCTGCATCCGCACCAAGCAAACATCGTAGGCCTGATTATTTGGACACGTTTTCAGATCTTCCAGTGGACATGGTTCGGAACCGTAGCTCTCGCAAATGTAACATTTCAGTGCGAACACTTTTCCTATGATTACTGTCAACAATTAAGAGGAGAGATGATTAACAATTAGTAATGATTATTGGTTAAATTTTCTATTTTCAATAGATTAGCAGGTTGGTTATTTTCCTCGATTCTTAATATGATATTATCATATTCATCTCGTTTAATTGTTGATAGTTGGATTCAAATGATTTGTTGAAAAGAATTGATAACAATTAACTTGAAGAATTAAATGATGCAAGAGAAATAAATTGTTATTAATAATTCATAAATTTTCTATGTAAATAATATGATTTTCTCATGAATTAGAAATAAATATTGTCATAAATCAATTGAACTAAAGGTAATCAATAAAATCCAGGGTTCGAGTGAAAGTATTAGAATGATTAATTGAGTTTTATTATTAAATTGCTACAATATGAATGATAAAGTTTGACTGACCACAAGATATTAACGAATCAATAATAAGGAGAAATTTTCGCAATTTGTTTTTACCAAGAATAAGATGAAATAATCAATTTATTCATGATGATTATCATGATTGTTTCATAGTTTCATCATAATGATTTCAGTTGATAATAACTCACCAGAATTATCATCAAAATGATGAAAGAGATAAAAAGTAACGGTAAAATTAAATTCTAAATATAATCAGTTGGAAGCTTTTGATTTGATTGCTAAGGTTGTTTTTCACTCTAAAAGATGATGATGGTAATGGAAAGATCATCTCGATGAGAGAGAGAGAGAGAGAGAGAGAGAGAGAGAGAGAGAGAGAGAGATATTGAATTTCTCAGAAAGATAATCATGATTTATTAATCAATTTCATCAAAGTGTTTGAGGTTAAAATGAAAGTGAATGTTATTACCTTAATCATAATTTAGATCAACATTATAAAAGTAAATTTATTCTGTGAATTTCAACCATTTACCTAATTGTATTAGAATTGGATTAAATTTGATAAATCGAGTTAATTAAATCTATTTTGTGTCTTATCAGTAAAAACTTGCTTACAATTTGAATTTTCCCTCTCAAAGATAATTAATTAATCATTTTGTTGACTGTTTACTAATCATTATCGACTTAATTTATATTCAATGTTTACAAGGTGATTACTTGGGAATGATTAATGTCATTGCATTGAGATAATGAGCTGGGAGGCTACAGGGAGGGTTAAGGTCAAATACAATCATGGTAATGGTGGTGATGATTTTTGGGAGTAGAAATGAGATGAGATTGACAAGAAGTTGATTCTAATGGTGATGATTATGTTATGATTAGATTAATTAACTTACCTGTAAGGAAACATGTGACAATGAATGAAAGGTTTAAATGTTTTCTCACCAGCGAAACCATTTCTAATTGTAATTAAAGGGAATCCAAATGATTTAAAGTATAAATATAATGTTAACTTGATGTTCGACTGATGATGAGGAGATTGTTGAATGTGATGTTCTGATGATGACAATTAATGGTGATTATATTGTTAGCACAGTTCGATGGATGCATAGATGATGAGAAGAGGAAAATGTATTGATAACAATTTTTAGTCACTTTAAGAATTGAAAAAGATGAACAATTGAATTTTAAAGGTAAAGAGATACAGAGAGTAACAGTTAGATGATGGGAAAGATGGAGAAGATGAAGGAAAACAAAGAAGCCTAAATGAAGAGAGAGAGATGATGATGATGATGAGGAGGAAAAAGGAGGAAGATGAAAAGGTGGAAAGAAGAATAAACTAAAAAGAGTGAAGATTTAATTCACTCTGGTGAAGCTTGTGAATTTCAAACAATTTAAATTGTTTGACACCAATCAAATTGATCAGTCAGTTAATCACTTTCATCAAGATAATGAGATTACTAAGTGACAATAAGATAATATAAACATTAAGGTTAATCATTGAGAAGAGTAACCAAAAAGTGTGATCTTAGATTAGCCAAAAATGAACATGTCTTGTTGACCTAACCAACACTAAATCAACGCTAGATTACAAGTTGTTACCTATCATTTTCATGCTCATCTTCATCTTCATCTTCCTTATTCTCTCTCTTTCTCTTTCTCTTCCTCTTTCTCTCTTTTCTTTCTCCTTCTCTGTCTTCTATGGTTTACCCAATATTATCAAGCCTGGGCAGGTACAAGGTGAAAAGTACCGTCAAGATTTGCTCGAAGAGGAAGAAGACGAGGATGAGGATGAGGATAAACAAGGAAAGTAGGAGGAGACGAAGGAAGAGAAAAAAATTATATTGATGAGGATGAAGATGCTATGAGCATGATTACTTATTTCTGACTACAAATTTCGCTCCTTGTCTTTATCTTTTGTCTATTTTACGTTTTCTCTGTTCCTGATTACTATGAATATCTTTTTTTATTTTTCCATGGTCACAATTAAGGTGAGAGATGAGGAGTAAGTAAGTGATGGATGATAATAAGCTCACTTGGATCTCCAGAGGAAAATCATTGACGATGATGAGAGAAAGTGATTATCATCGATGGCTCATCAATTTTTCCAATCAAACTTCAACATTTCACCTTCGATTGGAACTCATTAACTGTTGATAAAACTCTCGATTACTTTTCTGATCACAACCATTATAAGAAGATAAATTAGTCTTGTTGTGAAACAAGTCAATTAATCAATCACTTTGATAATTAACTGAACATTTTTCTCAATCGGATTTCATGTTTCGTTTTACACATTTACTACCTGGTTCGTTTTGATTAACAGTAATCAACCATAAAGATTAGAGAGGGAGAGAGGAATTAATTTCCGATTGTGTTACGATAATTATTTGCAAGATTAGTTAAAATTAACTGAAAGTTAATTCATGATGTGTGATGATTATAATCTTATTGGAGATAATGTTGAGAAAAACAAAGGTGGTGAATGTGTTATTGATTCTGACGACGAATAAATTAACAGTATTATCCCAGAAGTGAATTAAAATCAATTACAATTGAGATTTTCACTTGAGGGCTTGAAATTCAGATTCTTGGTCTTTTTTTCCGCTTCTTTGTGTTTCCCATTTCGGTTATAACTTTCTCTTGAAATGATTATTGCAACAATCAAGTTACTAATCATTTATCGTAGTAGTTGCCCTCCATTAAATCATGGACGAGAGAGAGAGAGAGAGAGAGAAAAGTGTGAACATGTATGGATGAAAAATCCTTGATAAATTCAATGACAATCATGATGGCGAATCAAGTTTTAGCTTTTCTTTTTACTTTTCTTTATCATCTCTTTCTTAATCTTTATCTTCTGCTGAATTATTTGATTTTCTTGTTATTTTCTTTTTTTTCGTCTCACAAAAAAACTAAAGTCATTCAAGTTTATTCATCATGAATCAGGGTAGAGCTGCAATCTACCTCTACTCTGAGGGTCAGAATTGAAATACGCGAATCAGAATTTGTTTCATTCTATCGGCACCAGATGTCGACACTCAAGCGGAATTGCTTTTAGGCCTTTTAATTGGACAAATTGAACATAAAGATTTGTTTTGTTTTGAAGAAACAAAAATTTTCCTTCAAAATAAGTGATAAATTTTCATTAATTATTTAAGTTTTCTTGGTGTTTTTTATATAATTGTTGTTACCTACAAATCTAGGAACATTGCGTACCAATAAATACTTGGATTATTGTGTTTTTCTTTGTTCGTAATCGACTAAAAAAATGACTGGTGAAGGGCAAGGAGACACTTCCAGCCGGGAAAGTAACGACGGTTCTTTTGATTGTAATATCTGTTTGGACACTGCTAAAGATGCTGTTGTTTCCATGTGTGGTCACTTATTTTGTTGGCCGTGTTTGTATCAATGGTTAGAAACTAAGCCTACACGTCAGGTTTGCCCTGTTTGCAAGGCCTTAATATCTCGAGATAAGGTTACACCTATTTATGGTCGTGGATCATCAAGACGTGATCCCAGGGACACATTACCACCAAGGCCACCCGGTCAACGGACTGAACCAGAACCTCATCCATCAACCTCTTTCCCTGGATTCGGTTTTGGTGATGGAGGTTTCCATATGTCATTCGGTATTGGTGCCTTTCCATTCGGTTATTTCTCCTCTACAATATTCAACTTTGGTGACACAAGACCAGCCCCTTCACCCACAAACCCCGATTACCTAGAAGATGCTCTTCTGAGTAAAATGTTTTTCTTTGTGGCCATGATACTACTTTTCTATCTTCTCGTGGCATAGCGTGTTACCCAAAAGAGTTAGATTTCCATAGGTGTTAAGTGAAACAAAAAACTATTGACACAATTTACATTCAAAACCAAGTGAAACTTCAAATCGGTGAAGTAAAATAAGTCAAACCAATACTAAAAAAGAATCCAAACTTTCTCATCAATCAATTGACAACAAAAAAAACATCAGAAAAAGGTTTATTTCTAATCAATAATTTTTCAATCAATTCAATTTCTCATAAACAACATCACTATAATAACCATCTGATTTATACTAGAAAGAGAGAGAAAAGGATCAAGAGGTAATTAAGTGATTAACTGCTTTTGGAATATCAGTTTATTATGGTTGCAATGCACTGGATTATCAAAGGAAATGTTTCATTGCAATGAAAAGGATTCACAATTTGCTTATTTCATCTTTTATATGGTTGTTTTCTTCATCTTCATTTTCTTACATCATTCCTCTTCTCTCTCCATCTATTAATTGTTATCACTTTTTTCGCTCTTTCAAGTATTATAAACTCATCGCATTTGATTGTAACATTAAGAGAAAAGCCGATGGATTTAATAATCTAAATCGAAATCGATACGTAGACCCTTATGTCTATTTCCAATGTAATGATCAATTGACCAGCATCTGAGTTTCTCTCAATTTTTCTCATGGGTTTTCTCATCTATTGTAAGAAAACAAGAAACTATTTTTTCTGTTAAATCTTTATTCAATCCTGTAATAAATTCTGTCACATTTCATTTTTCCCTTTAATTGAACTCATTGAATTTTCATGGTGACATTTTATTTATTATTTTTATTCATCAGTGTAAAGACAATTTTACACCTCGATGAGAGATGACGAGGTTTTATGTTAAAGAAGACAAATATATCACATGTAGGCTACATCAAATTAGTTTAATGATTGGTTTGTATTTGTGTTTACGTCTCATCAGATTTTACCAATTTTACGAAGAGGAAGAAACTTTTGTCGCTTTTGTCGTTTTTACCTCAGAAATAACCTTGAGGTGAAGGGCCACCGTTGAATGGCACCTGATCGGGCATCACTTGTGGGTAACCTCCCATTCGAGGATTGAATTGTGGGTGCATAGAACCATCGTTAATGGGAGCATTATACCTCGGCATTCCCATGTCCCCTGGCATTCGCATTCGATGATTGTTCATGTAATTATCGCCTGGATTCATGAATGGAGGTTGTTGTTGTTGTTGTTGTTGTTGTGGCGGTGGTGGATGTGGACCATTATCCATACGAGGGCCACCATAATTGTATGGGCTACAATTCATCATGTTGGCAGGTCTCATAGGTGGATCCAAGGGTCCTGGTCCAGGTCCAGAAATTGAGCCGTTTCCAGGTATTAAACCTGGTCCATTGGGTGGCACACGATTACCCTCATCGTAGGGAAATGAGTATCTTTGAGGACCCTCTGAACCCATGAATCTTTGATTTGGATCATAAGGTGCAACACAATTCGGTGAGGGATTAGGAAATCTTGGATTTAAGTTATTGTTGTTGGTCATAAATTGAGAACCATTATCAAGTGAATTAGGAGGGAAATGATGTGGTGCTGAGTTATTCATATTATTAACATTTACAGTGGTCGAATCAGGACCATTATTATTATTATTGTTATTGTTATTTTGATGAATTTTCGTTTTCTTTGCTTGATTTGGTGAAGTTGTTGTGGACACTGAAGATGGACCACTTGTCGGAGTACGAGAGAGCGATGGTGAAGGACCACCGGGAGTCGGAGTGATACTTGTAGATCCAGGTTTAGGTGGATTCATTGATGGAGATGACATTGAGAGACCATTGTCTCCCGAAGGTGTTGGTGGACCAGGACTTGCATATGAAGCTAATCGCATATTACTAGGAACCATTCCTGGTCCACCAGGATTATTACCACCGGTTGAGTTGTACTGTTGTTGTTGTTGCTGCTGCTGCTGTTGTTGTTGCTGTTGTTGTCTTGATGGATGAAGCTGTGATGGCATGGACATTGAATTGTTAACATTCATTGGTGAAGAAAGTGAAGGTGAAGGTAGGTTTCTGTAACCTTGATTGTATGGAGGTGGACCTTGTATCAAAGCTCCTGGACTTGGAGCGATATTAGGATTCGGACTACTCATTGATGATGAACTTTGTGACATTGGTGAGTGAGAATTGTTAGCATTAGCTGCCGGACTTTGATTCTTTTGCCTGCTTCTCTTATTTGTGGGTGCCTGTGGTGGTTGTTGAGGTTGAGGTTGTGATTGAAGTTGAAGTTGTGGCGGTAGTTGTTGTAAGTGAGGAGGAAGTTGTTGTTGTTGGAGATGTTGAATATGTAAATGCTGTTGATGCTGCTGTTGTTGGTGATGTTGATGATGCCCTGGAGGCAAAGGTACATGAGACGGTTGCATTCCTGGACTAGGGCCTTGACACGGTCCATGTCCGGGTGGACCATTCATAACATGATGGACAACAGGTAAGCCACCGGGTCCTGGTCCATGATTGGGTGGTCCGTTCATACCATGCATTGGTCCTCCCATATTAGGACCTGGACCATGTCCACCATTTCCAGGACCATTCGTAGGACCTGGTGGTCCAGACATCATGTGCTGATTGTTCATCATGTTTTCCATCTTAACTGGACCATTGTCAAATGGTGGAGTCATTTTTTGTAAATTTTGTAAATGAGGTGATGTACCGGCTTCCCCTGAGTTGTGCATTATTATTCCGGGATGATTACCATGTGGCTGTGGTTGTGGTTGATTACCAAGTTGATTACCAGCTTCTGACGGGAAAATTAATTATACGGTTATTATTTATAATCAAATATCTAACGAAATGATTAATAACAATAAAAAAGAAATACAATTTCATATCAACTTTGAAAGGAAAAGAGCAAATATGAAACAACTAAAGATAAGAAACTTGATTGAATTTTAATCTATGCAATATAATGTAATACGCTATAAATGTTCAAGACAACTATTGATTCATTAATTGATATTGAAACTAATAAGTAGCAACCAAAATTTCATGACATTCTGAACTAGATTGAGTTAAAGATAATTAAAAGCCAACATGTGAACATGGACAAAAATTCAACATTCATATCTGAGAGTCTCAGTTATTGAAAGATAAATATACAGCATCAAAGGTGAAGTTATGTATTTTTTTCATTCATATAAAACAAATGGGGAAAAAGATGCGCAGAAACACAACAGAATCACAACCTCACTTTCGATGCTGTTTATTGAAAGATGAAAAAAGCTCGAAAAGAGTAACTAAAATGCTTATGATTAAATTGAAGGAAATTTTGATTCTCTAACTGGCTATTTAAAAATGAACAAAAAGAGATACTCACCTAAATTACCCTTAATGAATTGATTACCATGAGGTCCAGGGCCACCATTAAACGGTATCTGATTAGGTATCATTTGTGGGTAACCTCCCATTCGAGGAATGAATTGTGGGTGCATAGAACCATCGTTAATGGGAGCATTATACCTCGGCATTCCCATGTCCCCTGGCATTCGCATTCGATGATTGTTCATGTAATTATCGCCTGGATTCATGAATGGAGGTTGTTGTTGCTGTTGTTGTTGTTGTTGTGGCGGTGGTGGATGTGGACCATTATCCATACGAGGGCCACCATAATTGTATGGGCTACAATTCATCATGTTGGCAGGTCTCATTGGTGGATCCAAGGGTCCAGGTCCAGGTCCAGGTCCGGGTCCAGGTCCAGAGCCAGGTCCAGGTCCAGGACCTGAAATTGAGCCGTTTCCAGGCATTAAACCTGGTCCATTGGGTGGCACACGATTACCCTCATCGTAGGGAGAAAATGAGTATCTTTGAGGACCCTCGGAACCCATGAACCTTTGATTTGTATCATAAGGTGCAACACAATTCGGTGAGGGATTAGGAAATCTTGGATTTAAGTTATTGTTGTTGGTCATAAATTGAGAACCATTATCAAGTGAATTAGGAGGGAAATGATGTGGTGATGTAAAATCGTGAAAACCTGAATCTAAGTCAGGAGGTGATATTAAGTCATTATCTCGCGCTGAAGTATTTGGTTGACGTTGGATAGTTAATTCCTGACCACCAAAGGTATCAAGATACTGAATTTGTTGAGGTGATGGAACTGGCATTAATTGAGGTTCTCCTTTACAAACGTCAGGCGACTGGCAGATACCCATTAAGTGAGGTGCTGAGTTATTCATATTATTAATATTTACAGTGGTCGAATCAGGACCATTATTATTGTTATTGTGATGAATTTTCGTTTTCTTTGCTTGATTTGGTGAAGTTGTTGTGGACACTGAAGATGGACCACTTGTCGGAGTACGAGAGAGCGATGGTGAAGGACCACCGGGAGTCGGAGTGATACTTGTAGATCCAGGTTTAGGTGGATTCATTGATGGAGATGACATTGAGAGACCATTATCTCCCGAAGGTGTTGGTGGACCAGGACTTGCATATGAAGCTAATCGCATATTACTAGGAACCATTCCTGGTCCACCAGGATTATTACCACCGGTTGAGTTGTACTGTTGTTGTTGTTGCTGCTGCTGCTGCTGTTGTTGTTGCTGTTGTTGTCTTGATGGATGAAGCTGTGATGGCATGGACATTGAATTGTTAACATTCATTGGTGAAGAAAGTGAAGGTGAAGGTAGGTTTCTGTAACCTTGATTGTATGGAGGTGGACCTTGTATCAAAGCTCCTGGACTTGGAGCGATATTAGGATTCGGACTACTCATTGATGATGAACTTTGTGACATTGGTGAGTGAGAATTGTTAGCATTAGCTGCCGGACTTTGATTCTTTTCCCTTTTTCTCTTGGTAGGTGCCTGTGGGGGTTGTTGTTGTTGAGGTTGAGGTTGCGATTGAAGTTGAGGTGGTGGAGGTTGTTGTTGCTGTAATTGCCGCTGAAGATGTTGCTGATGTGATGGCTGCTGTTGAAGGTGTTGTTGATGCTGTTGCTGCTGAATTTGTAGCGGCTGTTGAAGCGGGGATTGTTGATGTTGAAGTGGTGGAGGTTGTTGTGACTGTTGTTGTGCTTGTTGTTGTGAGCCTTGTGATGGATGTGGTGATACTTGTTGCTGTTGTTGAGGCGCTTGAGGTGTCATGGACATTTGATTAGGTTGTGCTCGCAATATAGCATCCCCAATCGCATCTATACAATCTAATTTTGCTTGTCTTGTTGTCAAATTATCTTCACTTCTATTCCACTGCACTTCAACATTATGAAAATTAGTCCCCATCTTGATTTTTCACTTAATATAAAAACAAACCACCTTATTTGTCAGTTAAATGATGGTACACGTTAGTAGACACAAAATTAACACCAATCAACAATAATAAAACATTTAATTTAAATCATTTTCCATCAATTTAATCACACAGAAACTAAAACTTGATTTTTCTTTGTATTAACAGAGAGAGTAATAGAGTAAGACCTTAACTCAGTACTCTTAACAAATTCTTCTAATAGCTGGCGCTTTATTCTTTTTACGCGCGGTTTTTAAAATGAAGTGAAAACTGGAATTCTAATTTAAATTCTCAATTGTTTGATTTACAGTAATCGAGAATAAAAATTAACTAAACAAAAATGAATATATGAAAGGGTTGATTAGGAAATCAGTTATCTAATCATAAAATGATTGAATTCTGATGGAATCAGAAAAGGGAAAGGGAAAGTATTAAAAAAAATACTCGAGATGAAAGTTGCCTCCAAAAAGTAATTACAACAATTAACTAATACTGATTTCTAGTTAATAGTAATATTTATATAATAATTAATCTTTGCCTTTCACCTAAAGATTAAACCAGATAAATATGTACCAATTAAAAAACGATTAGCAATTAACTATATATATAAAGTAAGAGACTAATATTCAAGTTCAGTGACATTGAAGTTAAACTAATTTAGTTCCAACAAATAACTCAAGGTTATTATTAGATAAAACTTTTTACCAGAAAAATTTTTTCTATGAGATTTATCAGACTAAATAAGAATCAACAATCAACAATATGGTTACAATTAAATCAAAATGAACGATATGAAGCTGAAAAAATGAGAAAACAAAAGTAAAGACAGAGAAATGACCACAATTGTTTCCATTATTAACTAATTACTATCAAGCCTCAACTAAATCAAAGTGCTAAGAAAAGAAATACAATAAACTGAAAAAAAAGAGTAACAATCAAAATGATAAAAAGAAATGAAGCAAAAAATCAAACAGAAAATCAACAAAAAAAAACAATTCAATCAAAAAATAGAGAAAAAAGTTAAAAAAAGTTTGAGCTTCAATCGAAAGTAAATTGTTGTAAGTCAACAAATCAATGGCAGTTCAACCTTAATGAATAAGTGGCTAATAATTAAATCTAATTGTTTGTTTGATGAAACAATTTAAATGGAGAAAACAAAAGGTAAACCCAAACTCCCCTGGAGAAGCAATAACAAAATCGGACGCGAAGAAAAAAACATTGACCATGAAAATTAGTTCATCTTAGAGCTTAAGACTTTATCTTCATCATTATAATTACCAGTAGCATGGAGGATGAAGAAGATGATGATGATGAAAGAAAGAAGAGAGAGAGAGAGAGAGAGAGAGAGAGAGAGAGAGAGAGATGGAGAAAAGAAAGAAAAGAAAGTGGAAAAGAGAAGAAGATAAAGTCAGTAACATGTTCCACCGGTGGGTTGGAAGTTTTTCTGAAGAAAAGGTCCTAAGATGATCTCGACCTTTTGGAATGACTTGAATCTTAAACCGGTTTAAAGTTAATTATAATAATAATGATAATGATTAAAGCTCAACTAGTTACCTTCAACGGCAACAATTTAACCACCAACAGGTTCTTAGCTTTTCCCTTGTTCAACAATTTAACTCAATCTTCTTGTGGGTCTTGATAATTTTTTTTACTTTTTCTTCATCAGGTTCATTCTGATCATGATGAGGATGAGGATGATGATCATGAATCTTTATATTAACTTGATTTTCTTAGGATGGGTGAGTCTAATCACAATGACGTTAAAGATGAAACCAGATGAAAAATTTGATTAACAAACAACAATCAACTTTATGTTGATCAAATTAAAACTTTTAATCTTAAATCTCTTTTTTTGGAAAAAACTTTTCTAATTTTACATTTAAGCTTTTAATCTGCTTTAATTAGTCGCATTTCTATTTGTTTTGCTTGATTAAATTGTTCCCATAATTATTTTACTCTATCAGTCTAATAGATTTGGACACTATTAGTTTACCATTTATCGGTAAACATTTGATTGGTTTGCTATTAGATTTGAGACAAGATAATTAATCTTTAATTGTTGAAGTAAAATCATTTATGTTTATATTTGTTTCTTTTTCATACTTTACAGTTTTTATCAATCTAATACTTTGATTATTTGATAATCTATAAAATAATAGTTAATTCCTTTAAATTGTTATCTTAAGATCTTATCTAATTGTTAATATGTTAGTTCACAATTAAATAAATGAAAGAACAAAAAATTCTGGTTAAATCGATTGTGCTGCCATCTGATGTTCACAATATTCACTAAACTTTTTTCTTTAATTTTTTTTCTTAATTGTTAATTTCTTCATCTCGATTGTTACTGATTGTTATTATTGGTATTAACTCTTAGCTTTTTATTTCTTAGCCAAATTCAACCAACAATTAAACAGTGAAAATTCAGATTTTCATTGATTGGCTATCAATACATCAAGAAGATAAGATAAAATCATTCAGAAGCAAAAAGAAATGACCAACAATTATTGCTAATTGTTAATCGTTTTAACTGTCCAACTACTTGCATACTAAAAGTAAATCAGTGGATCATTTAACTATCATTTTAATTGCTTAAACCATGTGAATTTGAAAGGAAAATTCAATCCCTAGACTTCCCTCTCTTTCTGGTGAATGTTTATTTAACCTCTGGTTTATTTTTGGGTTTCATTTGGTTTACCAGTAAATCCATGAATTGCCAATTTGATTTACTGCCAATTCATTAAACTGTGTTTCTCATTTAATTGTTGTTAATATCCTTTAATCATTTACTGTGACCTTGGGTAATAATAATTAGAAACATGTTCGAGATAAAGTTCAGTGATCATCATTTTTACCGTTTTAATTTAGATCCAGGATCCTAAGATAATCACAATGATTGTCACTAATGATTAGTTGATTATTTTGATTGATTGTACAAGCAACAAATTAGACTTAAATTGTCAATGAAATGTTTAAGAATACACAAATGTTATATAATGTATATATAATTTTTTTATTAGTTTCTGTTGCTATCAAAAAGTTTATGGTTGTGACGGTTTCATGTAATTAATTTGATGGAATACAATTAAGATATATAATAGAAACATTCAAAGTGCGTAATTTTAAGATTTGTTGATTGTTTGGTTGAATCATTTTCGTTTATCCTTAAAATATGTCAAATTTGTTCCAAAATCCAAACAATTAACATTAATATTCTTTGAACAATTGATAAACCAGGTAATGTCCATCATATCCTTTTGATTGTTCACAATTAATATAAGGGTTGACGGTTAATCATTTAAAATTTTGCAATTATAACATCAATACATAAACGATTGAACAATTTGATTTGATTACTCGTTGAAAATAAATACATTAATTGTGAATGAAAGATGAATAATAAAACTAGAAACTTTCCATTGGAAAGATTGAAATCAAATAGCTAATACAAAATAAAATAACTCGATGAATGAAGTTTAAAAAAATAAAATCAGATGAGATTAAGAGCAATTAAGATGATCCCAAGTTGATGAATATAATTATTGAAATTGTGATAACGATGACTAGTGATATAAATAGAGTTAGAACTCGTTTCTTTGATCGTTCAATTGTTTCACGAACTGGATGAGAAGATGATTGTGATGATGAATTGTTGGTTCCACTCTTAAGATCAGCCATGTCGGTCGCTTCGATCATGTTAAGTTTTGACAAAAGATGAGGATGAAATTGGAGTGTTAAATGTGCAGCAGAATAAAAAGCGAGGAAAATTATCAACAAGATAAAATAGCCTTTGGATAAAGTGATTGAGAGTTTGGCGACAAAAAACAAGGCCAAAATAGCTAAAGCATGTCCAATGTTACCACCAAGTGTATGTAAGATATTGAAAAAGATACGATTCTTGTGATCTGGTGCAGGTCGGAATAAAGCGCCTAAGGGTTGAAGGATCATGAAAATATTGGCAGATAGTCCGAGATATTGATGGGGTGAGTTCGCCCGCCAGCCCTTGGCATGGACAAATATTGTAATCATCCCAATGATCGCTGAAGAGAGAGCGGAAACCATAAGGCCTCGATGAAGAGCGAACCAAACATTAACGTTACAAAGTTTGGTGTTTCCCCAGGAATCTTTATGATATCGAGCGATAATCATGGCGATGCTGACCAAACATAACCAGGCAATGGTCATCATGGAACCATGAACTCGGACTGCAAGAGGTATTTTATTACTCGACGAAATGACACCGACCGAAGTTAAATTAACAGTCGTTGAGGTGATCGACCTTTTTTTATGGTGTTTCAACGATCCACCTGAGATTGACCCATAAGCATGTTGAACATAATATTCCCGATGGATATTGTATTCTAAACTAGATTCACCCGCAACTCCATTTGGCTTCTGTGTCCAGTGACAATGAACGACACCGTTTTCAATATCGGCCAATGTGTCTTCAGTTAATGTACCAACAGGTAGACTTCTTAAACTATAACCTTCAGTATAACCTTCGTTAACAGCTAGAGTTGAATCCTCGTTATAATCACAATGGACAACGGTAGCACCGGACATCGTATTGGGTTCAGTGACAAAGCCCAAGGCAAAGTAAGTACCCGGTGATCCTTTACCATAAACATCAACATCTAAACCAGATGAATTACCTTTGAAACTAATGAGAACCAAAATATCACAATTAAACTCGGATGAAGTTGGACATTGAGGAGGTGAACCGAAACAAAGTTTATCTCCATCAATACATTTCTGTGTAGGACTTTGAGCTGCGACAACAGCTGATGAAAACAAATGTTGTAAGATGAAGACCAGAGAGATGACCAATGGTTTAGACATTTTCTTTGGTAATGGAAAATGAAATGACAACAACAACAACAAACACCAAACAATTAACCAGTTAAAACGTTGATTCAAACGAAACAAAGTGGACACGACAGTCAAACAAACACTCACATACAGTTGACAGTTTAATCAACAATCCAACTTGAATTTGAATCGGTCTTTTTTTAAGGTGAAGGTCACAATGTTTCAAGTAATTTGAATGTTGTATTTTTTTTTGTTGCTGAATGTCTCTTGATTTGGTAGATTAGTGGCAAGGTCAACGGTAACAAGTGAAATTTAATTAACCAACAATCATTACCCAAACAGTAACAGTTAATTAGTAACTAAATTATGAGATGAATACAAGTGGCAGTTTGAGAAGAAGATGAAATAACATAAACAGCAAATTCTAATTTAGAGAATCCATTAAACCAGAAATGAGGCCGGCGAAAGTTTACCTGGGAAAGTTGAATAGAGAAGATGAAGAAAAGGAAGATGAAGATGATGAGTTGAAATAGAATAACGAATAAAGAATAAATTTAAGATTCTGAGCAAGGGTAAAGCCTTTTTGTAGGTCATGTAACTTGTACGAGTGTAGAAATGGGAGGTGGAGGAAAAAGAATAGAAAAAAATTAAGAAAAAGTCACAATTAGTGTTGATTATTATTGGAAAAATAAAGAGCAAGAGAGAAAATTGTATTAAACTTACATTCACAATTAACTTGATCGTAAACACATGAAAGGCTGACGATTAGAAAGGAGAAATGAATTGACACTGGTGGACAATTTAATTTGATTGTTTATTTTGTTCTCCACCAAATGAGTGGATCACTTTGAGTATCAAAATGAGAGAGTGGGGGACAGATTAGTTGGAGATTAGGTTAATCTAAAAACCTTGTCAATCGTTGATGAGATGATGAAGATTAGGATATAATATGAAAGGGAAATTGAATAAACCTTGTAACGTGTTATCATATTGTCACTTTTTTGTCACGATTGCACTTCCAGAATCGTCACAATTATCGTCTAGTTGATTCTTCCTCTTTTGTTTACAGTTAATTACAATTAAAAAGTAAACAATATGAATAAAAACCCATGGAGAAAAATTTACAACAATTGATGGGAAATTGAATACAATTAATTTCACATGATAATTTAATGAATATGAGTGAATACAAATCGTTGGCTCTCACAGGATATTATTAATAATATTCTGATGGTTAAACTAAATTTTTAATTGAAACAAATTTAATTCAAATTCAAGAGTTTTAAATAACCCATGACCTTAATTGGAATGGAATCAGTTTAACTAATCATCTTGTTCTGTGGTCGTTAGTTAATTATCTTGATTGTTACTCTCTGATTGTGGTGGTTTATTAGGTGTGAAAATTACAATCAATCTAATTGTAATTAGTCAACAACATTTTACGTTTAGAGTTGGTGATTGATTAATATTAATAATTCATTAACTTTGATTATGATATAACTATTAAGTCACGTAACGAATTAATTTCATTTTTTAACAACGTGGTTGATTAGGATTAATCTGATTTAATTAACACCAAAAGTGAATGAAATAATAAAACAAATGTTATTTAATCATTATGGTAATGATTAAGTGTGAACTTTGATTGGTTGGTTTTTTTTTCTTGATTGTAACTTACTGATTAAAGATAAATGTTAATTTTCAAGGAAATGCAATAATTGTTACAATGATAGTTTGTTTTATTATCGGAAATCACTGTAATAATCAACAATTAAACACAATTTAAGGTCAAATTGTTACAAGTTCACCTAACGAATGGACCTTTGAGTTTGCTTTGAATCAGTTGATCGATTAATCTTAATCACTGTTGTTTACAATATAAAATCTACTCTTACAATCAACTGATTTAGATTCGCACATTCAAGTGTTCCAAAGACTATTAGTTAATTGTAACTATATCTGGGGAAATATGTAAACACTTAGAGCGATTATTTCTGTTAATTGTTATTGTGATTTGTTGGTAATAGCACCTAATTGACAAGGAAACTTGATTAGATAAGTAATTGTGAACAATTTGTCTGTGAATTTTGTATCTGATTGTCACTAATTGTACCTTGATTATGATTAATTTTAATCCAATGGTTGGATTAACCAAACCAACAACATGGCCTCATAGACAAATCTAATTGTCTCATCAACAACAACAAGGTTAATCAAACAATGAGTGAACAATTATCATTTTCAAAATTAATCTGATTGTTTATTTAATCAAGATAGTTAATCAAGGTTATTTCAATTATATACCAAATTAAAATTAACCTTTTTTTTTAATTATTTCACTTTGTTATTGTTACTTTTTTACTGGTCCACTTGATATTTATAGTTGATAATTTTTCCTGTTTTTGTATTGAATGAATTACAATCATTAAATCACGGTTGTTAAAGGTTGTTGATTGTTGTTGCTATTTTACAGCAATTAAAACAAACTGGACATAAAGATAAATTAGTTAATTTCAATCAATATTAATGATAATGGGAACAAATTAAAAGCCTGATAATTGATGGCTCAAGGTATTGATATAAAAGGTAATAATACTTTCACCCACCATGAATCGGTTTCATTTTAATTGTAATCCAATTTAAAGGTAATTTTCAATATCCTGTTGTTAAATTGTTAACCTTTAATTCACTATTGAAATTAATAGTAATCAATACATGATAATGATTCATTATTAAAGTAATAATTTAATTACAAAAGTCGATTAACTTTTTTTTTGCGTTCGAGTTTAAAAAAAAGTTTACTTTGAATCAAAAGTGATTACGATTTATTGTTTACAGCGAAAGTTTATTGAAAAATTGAGAATTATTGTAATATTAAATTATACAGCAATTAATCACCATTTCTTTCTTTCTCTTATCTTTTAATTTTTCTTTCTAAAAATACAGTTGAACCACTTTTTTCAATTTTGTCTTTCTTTTTCTCTTTCTTTTTGATACACAAAATGAGTCACTTTGTAACGAGACAATCTATTTATAGCCGACATATTTTCTCAGGTATAAATAGAGCTGACGATTTCAATTTTCTTTTAATCATGGTTGAATCGTTTGACGAGTATGATCAAATAGCAAGAATACCCATACAGATATCATTACAATTATAATGGTATTGGTGGTTCAAGACCACGTCATCCAGAGTACAGAAACCCTATAACTCGTCTTGAATCATTTGTTAATTGGCCAAGGCCGGATATAGACATCGGAAAGTTAACAGACGCTGGATTTTTCTACGAAGGTAACGAAGATAAAGTAGTTTGCTTCCATTGTGACAGTGTACTTTTCAATTGGCAGACAGATGATGATCCATTCGTTGAACATGGTATACATAGCAAAAACTGCTATTTTATGTATGTAAAATGTGGTTGCGATTTTCCTTTACGTTGTGTTTTAGAAACTAAACCACAAATACCAAAACCAGAACTACCGAGAGTGGATATCGGCAGATACAAGTGTAAAATCTGTAGAGAAAAGGAAATTGGTTGTATTTTCCATCCTTGTGAACATACAGTGTCTTGTACGGACTGTGCAATTGATCTTGATTCGTGTCCAATTTGTAAAACTAGTATTCGAAAAATACGTTTATCACTAGTTGATTAAATGGTGCTTTGTGAAGAAATTGTTATCAACAATATTGTAATATCATTTAAATTGAATAATAAGTTGGATCGACAAATCGTGAAAGCATGTTGTCCATCTGTTGATTATCCCAAACGTTTTTCAGGAGGAATACTGAAGCTTGATGGTGGTTGTTTATTAATATTCAATTCTGGTAAGATCAATGTTACAGGAGTAAAACTTATGCCGCTGCATGAGAGCTAATTGACAAGTTTTGTGATCTTTATCCAGATAATTTATATAAAACAGAAGCCAAGGTAGTAAATATTGTCGCACATTCGAGATTAAATTCTAATTTCAAATATTATCATCTCAATAAATTTCCTTATTATTCATATGAGCCTGAGCTATTTCCAGGTGTACATGTTAAAGTAGATAACACGAAGGTAATTTTTATCATCTTCAAAAGAACTGGCCGAGTTACTGTTACTGGTATTCGTGACATTATCGATATAGAAAAATACTTCATTCTGTTTGAACAATTATATAAAGGATAATTTTTTCTTAATAAAAATCAATCATGGACAAAGCGGAAGAATATAGGATTTGGTGCAAGAAGGTACTTTTCTCGGTACAAATATTGGTTCTATTATCAATGGTGGTAACCGCTATCGCCAATATAGTATTCAAGACGGGAAACTTACCACTTTGGACAGCACTTTTAGGATCATCACTTGGTTATCTATTGCCGACCCCTCGTTACAGAAATTATAAAGCTGAAGATAGAAAATCTTCTCCCAATGTATCAGTTCCCTCATCAATTGTAACTTGATGATTTAATATAAAATGAATAAAGAAATTAATTAAACACAAAATGTATTCTGTTCATTTGAAGCATCCATTCACAATGTATGTATCTGGGCCTACAGGCTCTGGTAAGACATACTTTGTGCGAAATATGATAAACCTAGCAGAGAAAATTTGTGACCCCCCTCCAGTTAAAATAACCTACTTTTATGGAGAATATCAAAAAGAATTTAGTTCAATGAGTAATGTTACTTTTGTAGGGCTCCAGAGGATATGATTAACCAAGCCGGAGGAGCTGACCCTGAATGGATAATAATAGATGATTTGATGTTTGAAGCAGCTAATCAGAGTTTTATAAGTAATCTTTTTACACGTGGTTCACATCATCGTAATATATCAGTAATTTTTATAACTCAAAACTTTTTTGTTAAAGGTAAAGAGATGAGAAACATTAGTTTAAATAGTCAGTATGTAGTGTGTTTCAAAAATCCGAGAGACAAATCAATGATTTCAAATATTGCGCGTCAAATGTTTCCATCAAAGATTAAAAACTTCAACAGATCTTCGAAGATGCTACATCGAAACCTTATTCATCTGTTTTTGATTTGAAACCTGACACCTGAAAAGCTTCGATTATTAGCCAACAACTTCAATGAAAATGACCCAATGTATGTTTATCCACTATAATTTATATAAAAGAAATTGATGTTTTAACGTTATTCAACATGACAGTTGAAGGAGTCATCAAGTGTCTACCGACATTAAAGAGACTTGCTAATGAAAAATCAAAAACTGAAAGAAATAAGTTATTAAGAAAATCAAAGTCTTGTATATTCTATGCAATTTCAGATATAAGTAAAAACACACTAAACGGAAATATACCTATCAATCAAATACAACAAAGGAAAATTGGCAAGTTTAAGGCTCAGATAAGACTCTTATCAAGAAAGTCAGGGGTTCCTTTAAAGAAACGTAAAGAAATTGTGTATCAAACAGGTGGAGCTTTCTTACCAGCACTACTGTTACCTGCTCTATCATACTTTGGTGAAAAGTTGATTAATAAGTACATGTAATGAACACAATATCAAAGATGGTGTTAATTCCAGAAAAAGAATATCAATTACTTAAAAACAATATAAAAGAAGTTCAAGAAGTTGTTGACAAACCGATCGAACCTCCACTTTTAGATGAATATAAAAAGACGTTCAATAAAGCCGTTAAGGAGTTTGAAAAGATACCACTGAAAAAGAAAAATAAACAAAAAACACTCCCAATTATAAAATGGACAAGCGTGAAGAAATTCTGAAGAATATTTATTATGACATTAACAACACTGGAAGTTTTGGTGGTGTTAATCGACTATTTGATGCTGTCAGGAGAGTTGATCCGAGCATTGACATAAATTTTGTCAAAGATTGGTTACAAGGTCAAGAGACATATACAAATTTTCGATCAAGAAAAAAGAACTTTTCACGTTTACCTGTATTAGTTGATAGGCTGGATGAACAATGGCAAGCCGACTTGATGGATATGTCATATTGGGCTAAAGATAATAATAATAACCGATATCTACTGGTAGTAATTGACGTATTGAGTAGATTTGCTTGGGTTGAGTCTGTAAAAGACAAATCATCATCAACAATTACAGGTACTTTTAGGAAATTATTTGACAATGGAAGAAAACCAGAAAAGTTACAGACTGATCAAGGTAAAGAGTTTAAAAACAAAAGGTTCCAAGACTTTTGTTCAAGTGTTGGAGTTCATTATTTCACAACAACAGACAATTCGGTAAAATGTGCATTAGCTGAAAGATTTATAAGAACTTTAAGAGCAAAAATATACAGGTATATGTACCACAATAAATCAAACAGATATATTGATGATCTACAAAAGATTGTTGATAATTACAACAATTCATTCCATAGAACAATTAAAACAAGTCCAAATTTGGTGACCAAGGACAACCAACAGGAAATAGTTCAAACAATTCAAAGATCAATTAAATCAAGACCTAAAAAGAAGAGAACAATTAAAGTAGATGATCATGTGAAAATTCCTCTTAACCCAATGACTGGTGAAAAAGGTGCTAATCAACAATGGACTGATGAGGTGTTTAAAGTCTCAAGAGTTAAAGAGACACCTGGTCATACTGTTTACAAGCTGAAAGACTTGATGGATGAAAACATTACATCAATTTTCTATCCAGAAGAAGTCCAAAAGGTTAAATATGACCCTAATTCAGAGTATAGAGTGGCCAAAGTACTTGATCGTGTTTATGATCGAAGGAAAAGATTATATAAGCACTTGATACGATGGGAAGGATGGCCAAAAAAGCTGAGATTAAATATAGATTAAAAATTAAGCGTTTTTACTCTTATACAAATGAAAAAATTTTTGCTATGACTAATGATTGGGTTTATGTGTCGAGTACAAAAACAGTACCATTTTTTTTGAACGATTCTCCTGAAAAAATTTTAAAGAGTTTACAACAAAGTTTTGATGAAGCGATGAAAGAGTTACCAAACGAGTACATAAAAGAGACTACACCTGCTGACTATCCGTTGAGAATCGGAACTGATAAACTACAGATCGGTGTACACTACTTTGGTGTGGATTCTATGGGAATCTCAGTAAACTATGGACTTGACTTTCCCAAAGTAAAATGTTCAATTTTCAACGAAGCAGGCGAGTACCAGAGAGCTTTTAAATATTATCTTCAGAAAATGAATAAAGACCTTCTTGAGAATAATTTACACGGTTGCATTTATGTACCAATATTTGACATAAAAGTAAAAAAGGTCTTGGGGATTGATAAACTTGAAGATGATTGGTGGTCTTACGCAAATAAGGAAAAGTTGCTTCCTCCGTCTCTAAAATTCAATTTGGACGCTGCAAACGATAAAATTTTTTTAATGTATTTATACACTGATATCATACGTGATCATATGATCGGTGGCACACAGGCTCCTGTACTTCGAGCTGTCCCATTAACAAGTGGGATTTTTAAGGACATTGGGTATTGTACTTTTAATCAAAGAATATATTACCCTATTCGAAAAAACCATATTGAAAGCATAAGTGTATTGGCAACACATGATAGTGGAGATCAGGTAGCCTTTGAGGGTAAAGGAAGAATGTTTCTGAGTTTAGACTTTCGTAAAAAAGTTGTATAAAGACCAACATCGTTTTCTAAACTATCATCGATATGCATCGAAAAGCTTATTGTCCTAAAGATAGTGACTTTAGTCATTACTCAAGTCAAACTGGTTCTGGATTTGGTGATATTAGAGTTGTTAGCACCACGTTACCAACGAGGGTACGGATTCGGTAGTTTTATATCAAGACTTGCTATGCCAATAATTAAATATCTTGGACAGGAAGCTTTAGATAAGGGAGTACAACTTGGTAAAAAAGTCGCTCAAGACCCAAAAATTCAACAAGCACTCAAGACTGGTGTAACTAATCTAGCATCAAAGGGTCTAACGAAACTTCAACAGAAGGTTGAGAGTATCCAAAAAGGTAAAGGAAGAAAAAGGTTATATAAAAGGAAAACAATTAAAAAGAAAACAACAGGTAAAAACAGACCAGTCAACAAGACAAAAAGAAAATCAAAGAGAACAACTCGTGACATTTTCAACAAGAAATAATGGAATTTATACACAATGAATCATCACCAGCCACTATTGCTGAGCTTGATTTATTCAAATTACCACCTACACAAACTGTTGTTGAATCAATGTATGATGTTGAATATCGACCTGTAGGATCCCTTGATGAAGCGAAAGTTTTTGAATTTGTTGTACCTTCGTCTGAACATTATACGGATCTATCAGCTTCTTACTTACATGGAAAAATCAAAATTGAGTACAAAGATCCAATACTAGCTACAGATACAATTACACCCGTGAATAACTATGCTGTATCATTATTCGAAGAACTTGATGTTTATCTCGGAAATGTGAATGTAACGACAGGTAATAGTTTGTTTCATTACCAATCATTTATCGAAGATTTGTTTTTCAAGTATAAATCACCTGTTGATGCTTGTCAATTGATTGATGATGATAAAAGAATCAATCGAATTAAAGATTCATTTGATTTCATTCTACCAATTCATGCACCAATGTTTCAACAAGAAAAGTTTTGATTGATGGAGTACCTATTGTTTTACGGTTCAAACTGGCACCTGCAACTTTTGGCTTAACATGTTCAAAGTCAGGATCAATTTCATTAAAGTTTGAACAAATGTCATTATTCATTAGGCGAGTAAAGTTATTCATGCCTGTTCAGATGACTATTGAACAAAATCTAGCTAAATCAATGGCCAAGTATTACTTTCAACGAAATGAAGTTAAATCTTATCACCTTGTGAACGGATTTGCTGCCAGTAGTATCGATAATGTTTACAATGGACAGTTACCACGAAGTAATAATTGGATTTGTAACTGATAAGGCATTTAATGGTGACATTACGACCAATGCATTTTCATTTAAACATAAAGACATGAAGGAAATGTCATTGGTTGTTAATGGTGTCAAGATTCCAAGTTCAGCATTCAAACCTGATTTCAAAAACAAGATTTATATGAGAGAGTATTACAACATGTTCAGAGCTATGAATCAAGAGTTTGGAGTGCCTAAAATTAATATCAAGTACTCTGATTATGCTGACAAGTACCCATTGTTTGTGTTTGATCTTACAGATGATGGTACATTGGCAACAGACTCTGGTGCTCTCTCAATGATTAAAAGGGGAAGTGCTCGAATTGATATACAATTTACCGAAGCTTTGACTGAGGGATTACACATGATTGTATTTGGAATATATGATAGTGTGATTCAAATAAATTCAAATAGAGCTATAACAACAGATTATTGATGGCTTTATCAACAATTGATATTGATAGCCATCTCAAGAGATTCTCAGAGTTCAAAGGTGTTTTCGCAATTGATAAATTACCATTTGAACTTTTTGAAAAGCCGTTTGGTATAGTAATTAATCTAGATCCTAGTTGGAAACCAGGCTCTCATTGGACTGCTCTGTTTGTATCAGAATATGGACATGGTGAATATTTTGACTCATTCGGAACTGCACCACCTGATGCTATAACTTGTTTCTTGGAAAGAAACTGTAAAAATAATTCTTTTTCTTATAATCAAAACATATTCCAAGGAGATTTGTCAATCAAATGTGGTTATTATTGTATTCTTTTTCTCGAATCTCATTTCAATAACTTAAATTTTCCGTTAATTAAATGTAAAACACAAGTTAATGATTACATATTAAATAAATTTTATTAAACAATTTTATAATGTCCAAATGCATATGTTGATACCCCATCCTCGCGTATATATCTCTTGTCATCCAATGGAGATAAAGATATTTTGTTTGTTTTTATACTTGAAATCTGATGGTGTTTAGATTGTAATCTGTAATTGTCATGTCTGAATAATACACTATCGTAGAGACAGGTCTTGTAGTCCTCTATCGATATCTCATCACGAACGGTTGCCTTTTGAGTTCCCTTCGCGGTCTTCTTTATCTTTGAACCATATTTAATTCCATAAAGTTTTGATTTGATGGCAACGACTTCATCAATGACTTGACCATTCATCTCGTCTTTCAGTAGCCCAAGTTTCTTTTTGTTTGAAACATCATAGAGGAAATGATTTTCAGGGTAATCTGAAAAGTCCATAATTGCTGACATTGATTTCAAATCATTATAAATATCTTCAGTTTGAATATGATAGATGAAGCTGTCAGTGTCAGTGTAAACAAGATTTAGGTCATCTCCATAAAGAGGCTGAAAGTGATCGTAATGTAGTTCATACATCCGAAGCTTTGACAGTTCTAGTACTGTGAATCCAAGGTAAATTGGTTTATCCAGTTTAACCTCAAATTTACGTAATTTAATTATCGCCAAATCATTATCGAGAATGTAAAAGTGTTCAAACATTGGCTTTCTAATCTGTTTCATTGCTTGTTGACCGTTTGTCACAACTTTAACTTTGGAATGTTTCCGCTTATCTTCAATGCTCTTTCCATATAATGAATTGACCATCAATTTCCAAAAGTCTTTTTCAAATGAAGTTAAAGCTCTCTGGCGATTGAGGGTACACATTGAAATATAAGGTTTTAACCATTTGGATTGCTTAAACTTGAGAATACGATGAATTTTATCCAGGATTAGTCCCTTTGATAACCAAAATCTCAAGTTTCTTTCATGTACCACATAGTTTTTCTTATCTCTTAGATTAGGAATTAGTTTCTCAGTTTTACATCGGTTAAGCCCAACGCTTTCGAGATTAGATATGATTCTCTTTTGATAGTCACTTAACCATTCATCATCAACAGTTAATTTCTCAGGAGCCATGGGATAATCATTATGTTGATCGTGTAAATGTTGTGGATAAATCAAATCAACTTGACAAATGTATCCTGTATCTGAATCTTGTCCACCCATTATTGATTCAATCACTTGATTGTACGATTCCGAAGGGACCCATTCAAAGTTACTCATTGGTAGATTATCACTCAAAGCATAACCATAAAGGTTATTCACATCCAGAAAAGTTATGTATGAGTTGGGTTTATTACAATCATAATTCTCAGAGAGAGGATTGTTGGCAACAACATGTCTTGTCATTGCACAAGAAATTCCTCCTCGAATCCCATTCTCAATCATGAGGATCATGTCAATGTCTGTTAATAAATCAAGTTTTTGTTGCTTTGAGAGCAGCGTCCCAAGTGAGACCTGGTGTAGAGAAATAATGACAAGGATCAAGGCCAAATTGTTTCAAACTTGTGAATCTAAAGTTTTCAAATATTGCCGCTAAAAGTAAGACATCAACTTTCAAGTAAATGTCATGAAAATCGCCAAGGTTTTGACAATTGAAATGATTCCATATCCTTTGTAAATTTGAATATGTTGATTCATCTATTGTTTTTCGACATAGATGTGAATAAAATTTATCAATTGAAGGTAAATTGACATCATCAAATTTACTCCAAGAGTCCATATACTCATAAGGTAAACACCCTTTTGATAAAAGTAGAGGTATATCCGAGCTATTGAACATTTGTGATAAATATTTCGTTTTATCTTCATCTGGTAAATTGTTTGCTAATGTATCAAGGCTGGATAGAAGAAAAGCGAGACTATCTAGAAAAATGAAATCATCCATGAAAAAGGCAATATACTTTTCACTATTCTGTGGGATTACAGAAATCTTTTTCACTTGATTTGACTTGATTCCTTTCATAATTAAATGAGCATCATAGCCTTTCAAGTTATGAAAGATGACTGGTATTCGATTTGGTAATCTAAGTTTCAGATTACACAGATTATGAGCTGCTCCACGGAGCTTACCAGTTAGATGACAATGATCTAAAACTTTGTCTTGGAAAAGTGGCTGTAAACAAACATGACAAATGTCAGCAAGTTCATAAATGATTCTTTCTTCTGATGTTAGAATTGGTGGCTTTATTCTCCTCATTAGATCAAGGTTGATGGACGCTTGTACATTGTAAAGGCTTCTGATGAAATTCTCTGCTGCGTCATCACCTCGATAGAATTTATTGAACAGAATTTTACCTGTCCAATCAACAACAACCCAGCCAAATGAACAAGCTTCATGCTTTTGGTATTCAAATGTGCTGGCACCTAATGCATTTTCACTCTTTATCACCAAGGCTTCAAAGTCAGCGTAAATAACATATGGATAAGAAATTGACTTTTCCGCACGAGTAAACTCACATGTTTTTGGAACATTTTCTGTACCTGGAAGAATGGTTCTTTGAGCTGAATTGTCACCACAAAAGCTTTCATGCCTGGTTAGTGAGGACTGATCTCTGAAGCCAGAAAGACAAGAATAACAAAAGAATCTTTCCCATGACTTGTTGTTCATCATGAATCCGTTAAAGTTAGTGATGTGAAAGTAATGATCATTGAAGAGAAACAGGTTAATGTGACTTGTCTTTCTATCTTTGTTGATTTTCAAAGGAACAACTTTGGGTTTCTTACACAAAGTCAGTGTGTATACATTGATAGAAACATTGTTCCGCTTCTCAAAACGATTGATTTGAGAGAAGGGTGTAATTGGATCAATATCTCTAAACTTGTACCATTTTTCAAATTTTTTATATTTAGAGACTCTTTGTCTATGTGTTGCCTGAGGATGAAGAGCTATGAGAACGGCCCACTTGAAGCAATGAGACTTACAAACTGGCGATACCAAGCTCCTTTTACGGATCAAGTTTAGTGGTAATTTAACACTTGAACAACCACCACTATTTTCTTTTAGCTTACCTACTCTAATTTCCAACATCTTGACTGTCTGAAGTACCCATCCACTTCCACGTTGTGTGAACTGATCAACCACCAATTCAAGGTTTTCTATACATTTAGTTATCATTTTTTCAATTTGTGAAGAATGAGTTAAAGGTTCACTTTGAGAAATTTTATAAATTTCAGTAGAATCCGTATCGCCATCTGGTTTTTGTTTAATAAACTTGATTAGAACACAAACTTGAGTTTTAATTGATCCAATTTTTCCAATTACATGGCTGATGAGATTAATTATGTTTTGCCTTTCAGCTGTAAACAGGTTCTCTAGAGATGACCATGAACCAAGTTTAACATAAATTTCAAGGACACCTTTATAAGCTGATTTATGTAATCGAAAAGTAGCTACGTCACCAAGGGAAGAGACTACTGTTTTACATTTGATAACATGGTCAATGAACATTTCTTTATCTTTAAACCTTGTCTTACATTTTGAACATTTCAATAAACTACACTGTTCTTTATGAATAAATAGAGACTTGAATTTCTTGAATGAAACTCCACATTCACTGCACTCAAACATGACTATTACTAAACTGACAAAAGCAGTTGCTTATATTGTAAATTATCATGTTTGCTTGTGCGCATGCTTCAGGCTAGTTTCAAATCTTTAGTCTTGTAAAAATCTACTAGTATAATTCTCAACATTAATAAAGTCAAGACTAATAACATTATCGAAACAATACTCAACAACATCATTATAACACGAGAAATAAACTGATAATTGGATTATTGATTTAAATTTTTAATAGATCATTTCAGTCTTTAAACAGAATATATTATTGGTCATAAATTGAACAATTTCTTTTTCATTACAATAATAATCTTGATAGTTGATAATCAAAACAATCTTGTCCATATCATGGTGGTTAATTGTAAAAGGAATCTTGAGTCTCCTAAAACCAGACCATATCTTGTCCATTAAATGATAAAGATTTTCATCAGAGTCCAACTCGCCTCTTAGCTTGAGTGAGGTCTTGAAATCTACCGTAAAATGAACCTTGGTAGCCATAGGTACACTTCTCATACTATCAACTTTAGATGCACGAAGATTGATGTCTCGACGTAAAAATAAATAATAGAAAAGAGAAATTTGAGTGAGCTCACGTTTTATTTATCAGAGTAAATATAGGGTTACAGTTTATAGATTCAAATGTTAGTAAGGATACATAATCAAAATTCAGAAATGTTGGGTTTCATGTTTATAGACTCATTCCCAAATAATCTCTTGCATTGCGGCAAAAACCTGATCAGGGATTGAATGAGTAGCAACCTTGGTGATTTCATCTTTTTCGAGACGGATACACGTTTCCTTTGCTCCAGCCTTCAATCGAATTTCAACTGCGTCAATGTGCTGTCCATTACATGATATCTCTCTTCCACCATTTAGATTCAGCTCAAATTCACGATTGCCTTCATTTGTGTTGTTCAACTTTTCTTTCAACGACTCAAATTCATTATATCGAAGAAACAATCCAAGCTTTGTCGGTATTTGAGTCTTGACACCATTGATGACTCGCTCCATCCTCCGACGAATATCAACATACGTTTGTCCATTTGATGATTTGGCTCGTTGTACAGTCAACCAAAGCTTTGGAGATATCTCAACACAAAACAGTTGTTGGAAACGGTCTTCAAAGCTCGCCGACGATGTACTCTGTCTTGATCGCCATGGAAGAACTCGTTGAGTAGGAGTTTCAGGAGAAGCAGGAGAGTCAGGAATATTTGAAGTCATTTTTATCAAGTTGATGGTTTGATGATCAAGTATCGAATGAAAATTATGCTTCAAAGTATTCCTTTTATACTCTTAAAGTCTAGAATAGCCCAACCCTCTTTCTTCTCTGTTTCATCTAGAGCTTCCATTCATGAGGGGAGTGAATTTTTCAACAATTCACTTAACAATTTTCATCCCTCTTTTTATCTCATAATCACTATGATTGTATAACCTTGATCTGTGTAATCAGGATCAATTACTCCTCCTTGAACAGAAATTCCTTATGATGCTAAACTTGATCTAGATGCTAATCTATTTTCTTTGTTCAACTTGAATGATGATAAGATTACTTTATCTCAAACATTATCAACATGAGTGAAAACAATACCAGCTTTCCGTAGCCTTCGTTTGAGTTATTGAGTAAACACAAAGTTTGATTGTTGAAAAATTTTTATTGAGTTAAGAAGTTATATCAAAAAAAGTTTTATACAAAATTAAGGTCTGATCACTTTGATCCGACACTGGACATTTCGACGACATATTGGACAACTTTCTTGCCCAAGTCGTTTCAAAGTGCTGTCACAGCTACAACAGACAGCTAAATGATTACATGGTGAATATAAAACTTGTGTTGTCTTGAAAAGACAAACACAACAAAGATGTCTCTCAGCCTCATAGCTATCCTTGTTAGCGTATGGACAATCTGGAGAAAAATGGTTATGAACCTCCCCTGGAAGTTTACTCAGCTTACCATCAATAGCCAACCGACAGAAAGCACACTGGACTATTCTATTTGAACCGGTCCAAAGAATCCACTCGACGAACCAATCCTTTGCCTTGAGTCAATCTGGATCCAGCGAATGACCAATGACGATTTATCCTTAGTTGATAAAGCTGGAAAACTTTCTCTGGATTAAGGATTTTTGTCTCCGAGAAAACTTGAAGTATTTGTCCATCTGTTGAACGGACAAGAGAAGATATCGGTAGAGATATAGACGTTTCATCATCTATATCCTGGACCTGCACAGCATCACTATATCGGTGTAAATCGCCTTCGATCCTGTGCATCAAGTTGGGTTCTTTCTTGAGGACAAAGCTACAAGAAGGACTGAAGCTAGCGTGAAGAGCGACAACGTCTTCGTCCAGAAATTCGAACGCGATTTGAAGTCCACAACAAAAACATTGCAAGTAGTCAGCGTCTTTGAACCGGAAAAATCCATCTTTGACAGCATCAAACCACCTCTCATTCAAGTCTATACAGGACATCATTCTATTCAATTCTTGTTTCATAATTGAATAGGTTCTAAGACAGCCAGTCATCTTAGAACCCCAGTTTTCAATTGCAGGTGTGATATATCGGTTCATCTAAAATAATTGATAAAAGAGAAAAAAAATATGATTAAAGCATAATTTTATTAAAAATCATTAATTGATTTTCAGCTTTTTGTCTCATCATCTTGAGATAAGCTGAATGGAGTTTACACTTGTTCATAATAAGTTTTAAATGGTTACATTTTAAAGCCCAAAGTCTCACATCAGAGAATTCGTTACAATGGGCTTTACAAATAATTAATTTTGTAGTAATATGAGAAAAAATACTCTGATCATCGGTAAATGATGAACAGAGTTTACAATTCAACAATTTATGTTCAAGTTTTACATGTATTTTTTTTAATACAAATAATAAATGTTTACATTGACAGACGATTGGTTTTGCCTTCATTTTCTTCTTTGTTCCATCCAATTGTTTCTTAAAGCTGGAGTCCTTGGTTGGAGCTAAAGGACCCTTACCTTTGGAGACCTTGTTGGTTGGGATGGTAGTGGAAATAATTTTCATTTTAAACCAAATAAAATTTTTTCATGAAAATCCGATGAATTTCGGCCTGATGATCAATTCTCACTCCTTCGAGTGAGCTAAAAAACTTCCTATTGTTAAACTTAATTGAAGATGTTTGCACATCAAAAGAAATGATCGATTGTAGAAATTTTTCTTTTGATTCAAGATCAAGTAACTTTACTATTGTAAGAAAGTCACTTGATCTGATGTTGAAGTCAGCAAGATTCAAGGGTTCGTTTGAGCCCTTGTTTGATCGAATCTCGATGGGAATTCTAACAAGCTTGAGGGAAGTAAAATACGAAACAGACATTTACCTTGAGTGAATAATTAAACAGTTGTAGTTGAACAACAAATTGTACAGAAACAAAACGAAAAAATACACTGACGATGAAACGTTGATGAAGCGAACAAAGATTTAACTTAATCTTTTCGGTTGTAAAAGATTTGAAGACTGATGAAAATTCACTTGAATCCTCTTCTATTTATATACGATCGTCTTGCCTTAGCTCCCTCGCTTGTGTCCTTCAGTAAAGCTGATTATAGCAGGGCCTCAAGCGATTTCATAAACAATGATTATTTTAATTATTGTGGGCCTCTTGATTACTTTTTCAAGAACACTTTTAATTGCACTTGAACTTGACTACAAAGAATAACGTACTGAATAAACTAATTATCTATTCTTCTTAAAGTGAATTTAAGTAAAATAATTATAGTAGGGCCTCAAGTAATCTCATGGATAATGATTTTTTTAATTATTATAAGACTCTCAATTGTTCTTCCCAAAACGTTTTAATTACGTTCAATTGAACACAAAGTATGTATTTTAAATAAGATAATTATCTTGGCCTCTCAGTGTGTCCTTCATTGAAACAATTCATAGCAGAACTTGACGTTATTTTCATAAATAATGATTATGTTAATTATAATCTCTTGATTACTTTTTCAAGAACATTTTACTAACATTAATTATCAATAATAATAACTATCTGGGCCTCTTAATTGCAGCTGAATTCAAATTCAAGGTGTACATTTAACTGGCACGAAAGTTTAATTATTAAGATGATCATTAGATTGAATCATTGCTGAAAGTTAAAATAAAAGAATGAATCAAGGTCTGCATCGTACTTTGATCGTGAGAAAATGAAATGGTTATAATTATAAATTAATCATTAAGATGTGAAGAATAAGTACTGAGTTTTAGTTGCTTTTATTTGAACGTTAGCAAGGTCATGATAGGCTTTGAAAAGACAACTGGTTGTTCCCATTCAATTCCCTATCAATGTTACCAACATCATGTCTCTACGATAAGTACAACTTGAGATATTTAAGTTCAGTCAGACTGAACTTGGGAGGCGGAGCCTGATTGTTGAGATATTACATTGATAGTATTATCAGTTGATCTACATTCGATAAGCTATCTATCGACACCAATCTCATGTCTCTACGATAAGTACAACTTGAGATATTTAAGTTCAGTCAGACTGAACTTGGGAGGCGGAGCCTGATTGTTGAGATATTACATTGATAGTATTATCAGTTGATCTACATTCGATAAGCTATCTATCGACACCAATCTCATGTCTCTACGATAAGTACAAGTTGATGAAATTTAGGTTCAGTCAGACTGAACTTTTGAGGAGGAGCCTGATTGTTGAGATATTACATTGATAGTATTATCAGTTGATCTACATTCGATAAGCTATCTATCGACACCAATCTCATGTCTCTACGATAAGTACAACTTGAGATATTTAAGTTCAGTCAGACTGAACTTGGGAGGCGGAGCCTGATTGTTGAGATATTACATTGATAGTATTATCAGTTGATCTACATTCGATAAGCTATCTCGACACCAATCTCATGTCTCTACGATAAGTACAACGAGATATTTAAGTTCAGTCAGACTGAACTTGGAGGCACAGATTGTTGAGATATTACATTGATAGTATTATCAGTTGATCTACATTCGATAAGCTATCTATCGACACCAATCATGTCTCTACGATAAGTACAACAGGATATTTAAGTTCAGTCAGACTGAACTTTGGAGGCGGAGCCTGATTGTTGAGATATTTGTTTGATAGTATCATGAGTTTATCTACATTCGATAAGCTATTCAATGACACCAATCTCATGTCTCTACGATAAGTACAACTTGAGATATTTAAGTTCAGTCAGACTGAACTTTGGAGGCGGAGCCTGATTGTTGAGATATTTATTGATAGTATTATCAGTTGATCTACATTCGATAAGCTATCTATCGACACCAATCTCATGTCTCTACGATAAGTACAACTTGAGATATTTAAGTTCAGTCAGACTGAACTTGGGAGGCGGACCTTGAATGTTGAGATATTACATTGATAGTATCATGAGTATATCTACATTCGATAAGCTATCCAATGATACCAATCTCATGTCTCTACGATAAGTACAAGTTGATGAAATTTAAGTTCAGTCAGACTGAACTTGGGAGGTGGAGCCTGATTGTTGAGATATTTGTTTGATAGTATACTATGTTTATCTACATTCGATAAGCTATCCACTGATACCAATCTCAAGTCTCTACGACATACATAGCCCAAGGTACGAATATTGGACCATTCTGGACATTCTAGACACGACCAATATCGATTTTGGTACTTTCAACATATACATTTAAGAGAACGTTGCATTACCTATCCATTGATACCAATCTCAAGTCTCTACGACATACATAGCCCAAGGTACGAATATTGGACCATTCTGGACATTCTAGACACGACCAATATCGATTTTGGTACTTTCAACATATACATTTAAGAGAACGTTCATTACTATCCATTGATACAATCTCAAGTCTCTACGACATACATAGCCCAGGTACGAATATTGGACCATTCTGGACATTCTAGACACGACCAATATCGATTTTGGTACTTTCAACATATACATTTAAGAGAACGTTCCATTACCTATCCATTGATACCAATCTCAAGTCTCTACGACATACATAGCCCAAGGTACGAATATTGGACCATTCTGGACATTCTAGACACGACCAATATCGATTTTGGTACTTTCAACATATACATTTAAGAGAACGTTCCATTACCTATCCATTGATACCAATCTCAAGTCTCTACGACTTACACAGGATGAATTGACTAATTACCCTCCATTCATATTTACCGCTCTTCATGTTGAAGATTTCACTGAATTACGTCAGGTGTAGCAGGTCAGTTTCTGAATTGGACAGGTTAGGAATCAAGTTATTAGTTTACGTTACTTCAACTGTAAATCTTAAATTTATACAAGTTTCTCAAGACTATCACCATGAACAAAATTTCGTTAACACATGTGCAATTAACAGTATTGGTTCAGGCCATCCTATCACTCATATCGGATACACCGGCTGATAGACAATTGTTGAATCGTGAACTCATAACGGAATCTCTTGGAACAATATTTGAAAACTTTGTCCTTCCGGAAGTTCGTCCAACTGAATCGCAGCCTCAAGATCTTGATAATCCAACTCAGGACCATCAGGACTTCAACAAGTTACTGAGATCCCGTTCCTTCATCCACCATTTCCATCACCACCTCCACCATACCAAGTAGCACCAAGTTATACACCACCACCTTATGATCCTGAACCTGCATTGGTTACAATTGACGAACCAATTCCAGATGAACCAATTGATGTTGAATTCAATTCAGAGGAACCTGTTTTCGTAATTGAGTCCAGTGATTCGGGAAATGATGATCCCATAAACGATCCAGATGAATCACCAATGAGCACATCGCCAACAAGGTCAATTACATCATCAACCGTTTCATCGCCCAGGATAAGGACAAGGAGATCATTAATACCATCACCTTCTGCTTTGAGAACTTTCCTCAATCAACAAAGGAATAATTTAATTACACCTGTGGATGCTGTTGAATTAGAAGATTTCGTTGCACCGAGGACAGTAGCCCAAGCAATAGATACTATTGATAGGCTTCGATCAACTCAAAGGAACCTCCGGAACATGAACCTCAACTCGATGAATCGCTTAGGAATATGCTTAACGGTTCATCGTCGCGGATTCAGGACTTTGAATCAATGGATTTCTGCAGTTAAATCTCGTTTCAATATACGTAGGACGTCAGCTCTATTTTATACTAGATTAGCTGGAATCATTCAAATGTATCCCAGAATAAGACATCTTTCCATAGAAAGACGAGTTTTGGAAAATAACTTGTATATGTTTGAAAACATACATTTACTCGGTGTAGAAGAAGAAAGATTCTGGTCAACAGAATAACATAAAGTAAAATTGCATTATTACATCTTATTCAGTTTAAAATTTCAAATCTATTGGTGTATTGCAAGCAATTGTAACCCTAATAACTATACTAATAATCTAATTTTCAATAAAATGCACATTTACCCGGGAAGTCATTGACCTATACACGGTCATCTCCTTTTAAATGCACTTCCTCAATTATAAAGGGAAAGTTAGCAAACTTGTTGCAACAGGTTGTTGGCCTTGGGGTTACCCCGAAAATCATTAATTTTGTTACTACAAAAGTAAGAGAAAAAGAAAGACAAAAGAAAGAGAAAAAGAAAGAGAAAATTGAAAAAAAGTGGCCTCAACTGTGTATTTTTACTACTACTATAATCAATTTGATTAAAAAATTTCGTCCCAATTAATTGACAGAAAAAAGTTCTAAGTGGCTCCATCTAAATTCTTGAATTAGAGACAATTTTATGAGTTTTTTTCCGTTTAATTGGCTTTAATTCAACTTTAACCTTGAAATTAGTTGATTTTATATTGGGAATATTAGGATTATCAATCTTAGGAAATCTAATCTAATAATAGCAAAATCTCCTCAGGAAAATAATTGCAATAGTTTACTAATAATTTGGTATCAACAGGGACTTCGATTAATGGTTTTAAAGGTAACGAAATGATTTAATATGATCGAGCTGAAGTTTAATTGTGATAATATCTAGAAGTTTTTCCATTAATTGTAGTATCTTTAGTGGTTTGTATTGTTTCATGTCGAGGATGAGGAGAAATATGTCCAATGATTTTTTGTTTCGCTGGACAAAAGGTCATCTGGTTTGGACATTGAAGACTCGTACTAATTATTTCAATGCTCAAAGTAAAGTTTTATAGTTAAAAAACTAATAACCAACAGTAATCAACTAAATCATCAGCTCCAACAAATTAATCACTGTTTAACAAGTAGAGGGAGAAATAAATTAACACAAATTAACGAAGCGATCAACATCAATTGTGACGCTTTCGAATCGATAATTTTTTTCTTCATTCTTTTCAGTGCCATTCAACTTTGTCTCACTTACAACATCATTAAAACAGTTGAAACATCGACAATCAACGAATTTTCATCATCTAAAAGATAATCTAACTGTTAATCTTGTTTCTAATTGTGATCAAATTGGAAGGAGAAATTAAAATCCCATGGAACTAACTAATTCTGATTCTGATTCGCCAATTGAGCGTTTCTTTAATGGCAAGAATTTGTTCATTACCGGAGTCTCTGGATTCTGTGGAAGGGTAAGTGATTTGTTTTTCTCTTCTTAATTAATATTAGCTAAATGGAATTAATTCTCTCCCTTTGATAGTTGTTACTTTTCAAGATTCTCAATGAGTTAACTGGAATCGGTAAAATCTATGTGATGATGAGATCAAAACGCGGATCTAATGCTCGCCAACGAGTTGACCATCTACTCAAATCACAGGCATTTAAATTTCATCAAATTCCCGATTATCAGAGAGCCAAAATTATCCCCATTGAAGGTGATCTATCGGCAGAAGATCTACTTTACGATCAGGATGATCGCCGACGATTAATTGAAACGGTCGATATTGTTTATCATATCGCAGCTTCGGTTAAATTTGATGCAAATTTCAGGTAAGTTTAACTTTATTATCAATGAGATGAGTTGATCGAATTCGCATTATTTTTGTTTCGATTTTTCTTTTCGCAATTATCAAGGTCACAGTTCGAGACCAATGTCCAAGGAACCGAAAACGTGTTGAAATTTACTCGACAAATGAAACAATGTAAAGTTTACATTCATATATCAACAGCTTATTCTAATTGTCAATTTGAACGAATCGAGGAAAAACTTTATCCATTAACTGATGACATCGATAAACTAATTGCTAAAATCAGGTAATATTTTATTCATTACAATTAATTCGTGTGAAGTGATTGACTCAGTAATTAATCAGTTTGTATCGTTTTGATCAACTCTGTCTACCAATTTCCCCACATTAAGTTACTATAACATTTGAGATTTAATTGTTAATTGTTGTCTATTGACAATTTGATAACAATCAAATCTAAATAATTCAATAAAAGGTCAATTTGGAGAAATTTTCTCTTGATTAATAGCCACTAATTACAATCTATTATAATCTGATTGTCAAGTTATCATCTTATTGTTGATATGGTCTGATTTAAATCATTTAGATCATTTTGATTTAGATAGTTACTCAAATTTCATAACATGAGATTAACCCACTAAGCCTCAAACTTAACCATCAAAAAATTGATTCAACTTAAAATATTGATTTTAAATTAACTGTTTGTAAAGTTTTGTTTTCTTGATTGTTGTTAATTTAAACAACGAGCGATTGGTAGTGATTAACATTTTACACTTGAAATGATTTAAAGAGAGAGAGAGAGAGAGAGAATCAAAGAGATGATAATCAATGTTCCGTGAATTGTAATGATTTAACACTTTGATTGCTGTTGTTTGGTTAATTCCTCCAGTTACAGTTACGATGATGTTTTAATTGTAAATGAAATTATTCATCTCATAAAAAAAGTTAAGTGATAGTTTAAATTAACCAGTTAATTGGAAATTAACTCTTCCACTTTTACCTTTTAAATTGTTACATCTTATTTTCTTAATTATTGCAACTGAATAACAAGAGAATAATAATTTTTGCCAAATCAATCGTTAACATACATACACAATTAGTTGTAGTGAGTAAGTTAATTGTTTGAAAGAAGATTAAACATCTTTCTAAATTAGTTACTACTGTTTATTAATTGTGATTCGATTTGTTTTCCTGTAGATCGGTTGATGATAAAACTTTAGAATCAATGAAAGACGAACTTTTTCAAGGTCGACCCAATAGTTATGTTTACACCAAAGCGATGGCCGAACATGTAGTGGACAAATATCGTGGTAACATGAAAGCCGTTATATTGAGACCAGCTATTGTTTCACCCGCTATTCGTGACCCAGTTCCAGGTTATGTTGATTCTTTTAATGGGCCAGCGGGTTTTAGTACAGTTTCCACCCTGGGTATAGCTAAAGTTACTGATTGGGAGTTCAATCATCAGCTTGATATATTTCCAGTTGATTTTTTGGCCAATTCATGTCTCATCAGTGCTTGGTTAACAACGGCTCGAGAGTAAGAATATTAAAAACAATCATTGGGAAAATTTTTCTCACAATTAACTTGCCCATTTCTAATTACAGTATCGAGGAGCTTAAAGTTTACAATTTATGCTCCACAACGATCCGACCAGTCGATAATTACACAATGTTAGCCGACGGTGAACGTATCATGAGATCGTGTCCATCTTTGTACGTTATCAGGCCACCGCGATTACCCCCGAAGACCAATAACATGTCCAATCTTGAATATAAGATTAAAATATTTTACAGTCACGTCATTTTCGCATTTATAATTGACCTCCTTCTATTCATATTTAGACAGCCGCCAATGTAAGTACCAATATCGAATTAAATTGTTATCCTTATGAAATATTATTGATTATCTTTCGTCCAAACAGAATGAAGAAAATAGTTGGTCGGATGCATTATGCTCTTGATTTGATGAAATACTTTGCTAATCGTCATTGGACATTCACTTGTGACAATTATATCACGTTAATTAACAGCTTAAAGGGTAAAGATATTACCACTTATGATGTTGATATATCAAAACCAAGAACTGAAGATGTCCTAATGAATGTCTGGCTTGGAATAAGGAGATATCTGTTGAAAGAAAACGATAACACAATTAGTATGGCAAGAATTAAATATCGAATGTAAGTATAAAATATAATCGAAATTAATTAATTATTCTTAATAACTTCAACTATTTTCTTCTTCTTTTCCTTACCTATTCAGACAACTCTTCCTCTATCTAATATACCAAATTGCTGTTCTTTATTATGGCTGGAAGATTCTAACCTTAATACCTTACGTTGGAATCATTTTGTTTGCTTTGTTTGCATATATTTCCGATAATTTGATTGACATTTACAATTGTACTTTGATGATAACATCCTTATGATTCCTTGATCCACAAATGACACCAAATTCTTGTACAACACCAAAATCAATCCTCTTCTATTATATTCTCATGGCTTATTAACAATTTGAAAGCGAATCGATGACCATAAATAAACACCAATATAACGCGTACCAAACGATCTTCCAAATCGAAATGAACACTTGAATCCTTTTAATCAAATTAATCAGCTGAACTGATTGAGTTTTGAAAAAAATTCAATTTCTAAAATCCATTCATCTTGAAATAGAATCACAATCAATTGAATTGAAACCAAACACTTTCTGGTTCATGTGAACATTTTTTCACCACAACCGGCACTTGAATCACATAGTCAATTTCCAGTTATTCCCATTTCACTAATTTATCGATCAAACAATCAGAGAATCTCATTGATTAGAATAATAAATTAAAGTGATTAACTGATTAACCAGAAAAAAGACTCGTTTAAAGAACGAGTAGTATCTGGATCGTTGCGGGATCGATATTCTTTTCGCGCCAACTTGGTCTTTGTGTTTGAAAAAAATTCTTTTTCTCTTGACAAGCTTAACTTGATTGTTGTTCTTTTGTTTAATTTTTTTAATCATTTTTGGTCATTTTCTGATCATCTTACCTTTTTGTTGAAGAGGGAATAGTCAAGATAAATATTAGAGTGAAATGTCTCAAGAAATTAAACCGATTATGGTTCCGTGGGTAGAAAAGTATAGACCTAAAAAGGTTGATGATGTTGTTTACCAGGAAGAAGCTGTTAATGTACTTAAACAGTGTTTAAAGGGCGATGATTTCCCAAATTTATTGTTCTATGGTCCTCCAGGTACTGGTAAAACATCAACAATTTTAGCTTTGGCAAGAGAAATGTTTCAAGATACATTCTCATCAAGAGTATTAGGTGAGTAAACTTTCTATGAGATATTTTGGTCTCTTGTTGCATTGACAACCTTGAGTATATTTTATTTTCCTTTGTTTGAATTTATTTTGTTTTTTTCCTTCTTTCTTTTAGAATTGAATGCTTCCGATGAACGAGGTATTGCTGTTATAAGAGAAAAGGTTAAAAGGTTCGCTCAACAGACTGTCAGTCGCAGTGAATCAGGCACCAAATGTCCTCCATTCAAGATCATTGTTCTGGATGAGGCTGATTCAATGACTCAATCAGCTCAGGCTTGTTTAAGAAGAATTATGGAAAAAGAAACCAAGTCAACTCGTTTTTGTATTATCTGTAATTACATTAGTAGAATTATTGATCCAATCGTCTCAAGATGCTCCAAATTTCGCTTCAAACCCCTTCAACAAGACCTGGTGATGGAAAAATTGGCTTCTATTTGTACCAATGAAGGAGTTACCATTCAAAACGATAGTGTCTTGGAGGAATTAATCAAAGTTTCCGGAGGAGATCTGAGGAAAGCGATCACTTTTCTACAAACATCTTTTCGGTTGAAAGGAGAGGAAATGATGACCATAGACGATGTTCGAGAGGTTACAGGCTATATTCCTCAAGATTGGGTCCAACATTTTGTCGATGCCTGTAAAAAGCAATCATATGAGCAAGTTGAAGATGTTCTTAATGGTTTGGTCGCTGAAGGCTTTTCTGGAGCCCAATTACTAAATCAACTTCACGATTGGTTCCTTAGTGAAGAAAGTCCTTTGACTGATGAACAAACAGCTGAACTAATTGAAGCTCTAGCATTAGCTGATTACAGGCTTCTTGAAGGAGCCGATGAGTTTTTACAAACATTCAATGTGGCCTCAGTTTTTATTCAACTTCTTTCCAAAAAATAAAATTCTCATATATATTTGATTACAGCTAATTATCTGAAAAGTTACATCCGTGTACCAAAGTGAATCAAACGCCGAACAATCAAACCGATTCAATTTCTGCAATGAATTGCATCATTGTTATTAGATGTTAACTATAGTCAAGTAACATCCAGAAGCATCACGATTAACTGATTGCTCTCAAAGAAGGAAAATCTATCAATTTAACGAAAAATCAAGTTACTTTCTGTATTAACAGTGATACAATTAACTACGTTGGAAAATAAAGGAAAACGTAATTGAAATGAGGACATTAATCAACACTGGATCAACTGAATCAACTGAATATCTCTCATCGTTTCCGTTATTTACCTTGATTGTTTGGCTCAATTAGTGAATAATAGATTTCCAAGACTTCTCTAGAGGCTCCTCGGTGAATCTTGTTAATTCTGAATGATTAATCATATTACTTTCCTTCTGTCATGGTAACAATTCACTAACCATGATGAAAGAATCACTCTAATTTTCACTGGAATTATAAATTCCAGAAAATTCATCATTTCATTCAAATTGAATATAAAGTCAACTCCTTCCAATCAAAGTCAATCACAATCGAAAGTAATTCCGACAAAGCAACAACAATCAACGTGAAAACTATTTTTTAAATCTTGTGTTTACCTTAATTTTCAGTTTCTATTTTCCTGTTTAAACTTAATTCTAATTAATCTTGTCAATCTTGATACGTTCATCAAAATGGTTTTTCCTCATCATACAATTCCAACAAATCCAATGGTATTCAATCCCTGTGGTTTCGGTAATATGGTTCATCGAAATGTTTGGAATCATACAGCTCAGATTTTACGAGAAATTAATCGGATGACTAATCAAATCCACGATAATTTGATTCAACCCAATGCTGATTGTAGCTCATCCGCTTCGGCTTCTGGATCATCGGCTTGTGCTTCGTCCTCATCAAAATCCAATGTCAACTCAATCAATGGCGATACTTTTGAGGTGAAAGTTCAAGTTGAACATTTCAAACCCGAAGAAATTAGTGTTAAATTACTTGATACTAACAATTTAGTCATTGAAGGTAAACACGCGGAGCGATCTGATGATCATGGCTTCATTTCTCGATCATTCAGCCGACGTTACATTATCCCGGATATTTATGATATCGAAAAACTGGAATCACAATTATCCCTTAATGGTGTTCTTACAATTAAAGCTCCACGAAAACCAATTCAAGGTTCTAACGGTGAAAAAATAATTCCAATTACATTAACTTCCAACATATCATCTGTTGATCAAACTATCGACAAACCAACATCAGAATCTATTCCAGTCACCATGTCAACATCAAGAGATGATGATAACCAAACCACCATCGTTGAGGATTCAAATCAAAAGGAATCTGAAGCTTCATCCAAAAATAACTAATTACTAGTCAATTGAGTCAATCTGAACAATTACTAGCAATTAATAATTATCTCTGTTTACTCTCTGTGTTGTCAAATACAACCATCTGATAATTTATGTGAATTGGTAAACAAAGGCGAAAGAAAAAGATGTTTAATTAAATTCCGATACAATTAATCAATAAACTAATTAAATTCTAAAATGTAATCCAATCAATTATTATCTTGAAAGAAATAAAATTCTAAAAGTCAAAATTTAATCACATCTCTGTTGGAGCTTTAGCAGCACTTCTCATTGATTTTCGCCGAGTTTCGTAAGTATTATGGTTGGCGAATACGGACCTTAATTATTAACGCAAATCTTTGCAATTTATTAGCAAGTTTTAATCATTTCTTGAATATAACTTACGAGGAAAAAGGACACCAAGAACTTAGAGAAGAGATGAGATGAATCGCATTCAAATCTTCATCAGTTGAGGCTGAAACAATTGAAAGTATTAATAATATCGGGTGACCGAAAATGAGTGAGCATCTCAAGAATGGTAGGTCCTAGAATAAAGTTTCAAACGTCATTGAAAGCGCTATTGATCAGATATAAATGAATAATTTTTTTCAAAATTTTCGAAGCTCAAATGCAACTGTGGTTCTTATTTATAAAGGCCAAAATCGTGATTTGCTCTATGAGAAATTTATATGAGGAAGTTAAAGAGCAATTTTCGTTAATTTTGGCCATGTTGGATCTCAATAACTTTACTTCAGATAATGATGAGTTTAGGTATATAAGATAAATAGTCAAAAAGAATAACTTTTGACAAAAATTTTTGCATCCAAAGTAAACCATTTGCTTTTCAGGTCACTGAAAACTTACGTTACCAAATAGTTCCTAGACACTAACGAACTCAATTGAATGTTTGAAGAGATCACTTTCAGTGATCGTCAATCGTTTGAGGTCTGGATTTTGCTGATTGAATACAAGCAATCTCTTTTTTTTGCAAAGCAAGAGATGATTTTACGGATTCTACAGAGCGATTACGTTAAATTAACAGATCTGTTTTCGGAAAAACTTGAGAACGGAGAGACGTTGGCAAGAACAGATTACAGATATGAACTTAGGAGACCATGAGAATTTGTTTGACATCAAGTTCGAAACTGACTTTTCGGCAGGTCGAAAGTTCCTTAAAGAATTTAAAAAGCACTTCAGTGGAATTTACTCCGGTAATTAATAAAGTTGATAAACTATTTATATTTTCTGTTTTGATGTAATCAAAGTAGACAGTTTGTACTCCAAGTGTTCTAGTTTCAAACCATCCAAATAGAGCAAAATTTTCAGCTGTGTACCTTATATGTCTGAAGCGAAACTTGGTTTAGGTTGTAACCCAATGGGTTACATTTTCATTAAAATATCTTCAGGCGGGATAAACCTGGCGATGGCCAGAAAGCTCCGTTAAATTGTACGCTCATAGGCTTGGTTTTTTGTTGCCTTTTAAGCTTTTTATAATTAAATGAGCTCACTGTTATTACTTTGTTCGATTTTTTTTCTTCACAATTCAACAGAGTGAAAGTTTTGCCATGTTCTGATTTGGAACTTTTCCATAGAGCCGTTGCCGAACAGTGGCCTCTCAAAGTCAGAACATTTGAATGAAAAATTTTTTCAAGAAATTTTTTTTGGTCATTTTGGCCATCTAAAATTAGCACAATTAACAAGCCGAGCTAATCATTTTTTTGATCTGACTTTTCGTTTAGCAGTAATAGGCATTCAAAGATGCCTACTTATCCCGTTGACTTTCACATGAAAATTTTGGTCTTTTAAATAACAAATACACAAACTTACGACTCGACACTCACATTTTTTTTATTTTGGTCATACCGTTTGACTCACCAAGAGCTTTCAATTGATACCTATACTTCACACAATTCGTATAAATAGGCCATTTTGACTACATTGTATTATCCTTTGGTGTACATTCTCCTTTAATTGTAATAAATTGAATTGCACGAAATTAATAGAATCAGTATCATTCGTAAGATCAAATTCTAAGCTTTAAATGGTTCAGAGGAGGGTCTCTAAATTTTTTCACTTTTTTATTCTTTTTAGTCAAGAATCCAACTTTTTTTTGGTCATAGAGTTTTGAACGAGCATCTCAAAAATATCGTCTAATTTTATTTTTCAGCACCCAGACGGAAGATATGTGATGTGATTTGTATCAATAGTTAACTTTGATCTGTGAATAGCAGTTCTAGGTCTATTTTGGTTCGAATAAATGTCCGTTCTCCGTTATTACTAACTAAATCGCTACAAAATTTTTTGGAATTTTCAATTTTTCAAATATGAAGATAATATGTGTAACGTTCTAACTTGTATTTATTATGAATTAATGAAAAATAAGAATATCTTTCTTAGAAATTCAATGAATTTTCTCAAAAAGTAAATGAATTTCGATGAGTCAATGGATTTTCACCATAAATTTGATAATAAGATGAATTTTGAATGAGCTTTCTAAGAAAGTTATTAATTAATTTGTTTAAATGAATGAACTTAAATGAGATTTGAGGAAACAATTTAAGTTTAATATGAATAATGGTTGCAATTGGTGATTTTGGTGAACATTAGTTAATTTAGTTGTTGAATCAGAGTAATTAAGAGAGATTTGAAAAACAGATTAATTGTTTAATCGTTGATTGTCCTTTTACACAGCTAATCACACATCATCTTAGTCAGGGTGATTTAGTTAATCATATTCCACAATTAAGATATTAATCATTGGATTATAATTAAGAGTTAGTTACAATCAACATTAAACAATTAACAATTGAGAGGATAGAGAAATGAAAGAGAAAAAGAAAGAAGGGGAAATATTAATTACTTTCTTTTTCTCAATAAGAACAATTAATTGTAAAATTAACTATTGGATAAATGGTGAATAAGAATTCATCTTGAATAACTATTGTTACCATGTTGACATTACATATAATCAATTAGATGAAAATTAATCTCTACGTTAGGTCATGTCGAACCTTAAATAAGTCCAAATAATAGTTTAGGTTTTTCGTAAAAAGTCAAATGTCAAGATTAATCGTCATTTTGATTCATTCATATTTTGATCAGCTTTATCACACAATCAATTTGCGGTAATTTTTTTCGAAATCGGACTATTGATAAAAAATTTATAGAAATTCGAATACAACACGGGTTTGTCCTAGTAATAAGAGACGATTGAGGTCAGAGTCGTAAAACTTGCGTACTTATAGTCCTATCAGTTGTTCGCAATAAATTATAATTAGATAAATTTTCATATCATTTTTAACCATGCTCTATGGCCAAATGTTTGATGAGTCCATTTTTCCCATGTTAAATCTCTAATAAACTGCATATATGGCATATACTCAATTGTTATATCAAAAGATCAAGGTCATTCAGGTCACACGTAAAATAACGCGTTTCAAGGTTATTTGATGGTCATTCTATGATTTTCCACACTTATTCATCCTGGGTTAAGATTTTGAAGTTAGTTGTAACTGTCAATCAGAAGATATTTCAGTTTAATTAAAAAGGTACTGAGATTCTTTAATTAACAAAACTTATCATAACAGTTGACCCTAAAGACATAAGAGCCTGAAATTTTGATACTGGTGTTTTCACACATACTTTTTTATGATAATGCCTTCAAATGACCTTGAAACACGTTATTTTACCAGTGACCTGAATGACCTTGATCTTTTAATATGACAATTGAGTATCGCTCAAACTCATACCACTCAAGTCTCGAGTCTCTTTGATTCTTAGTTGCTGAGAAAATCGCAAAAAACATCGGCGAAAATAGCTGAATAGCCCTGTACTGACAAGTTTTGAGGTTCTATGAGCTTTGCTGTGTACGTTAAGTTAAATTTATTGAAAAGAAGATTTTCAACAGTTACTCAATTAAACTGTAATCAGAACACACAATCGTGTAACCTGCACATTAGCGAGCAACCCTCAATCAAACACTAAATAAATTCTCTATCTCAGACATATTGTAAGGGCAATCAAACAAAGCAACAGGGAAGCGTCAGCCGATTAGTTAATAGTTTATTTTGATTGCCTTGAAATTGAGTCCTAGTAAATTCCCGATGCCAAAATTAGTATTTGGCCAATTTAGGCCCATATTCACCAACCGTAATTAAAAGCTATGATCAACTAATCCTCAGATCAGACCGATTCCGAGTTTAGACTAAAAAGTTGTTTCACCAAGCTCGATTAGTTGATTCCCGATTCTTTGATTTTGGGTTCAAATCAAGTTGAAGTCAAATCAATTGAATATTAATTTAATTAGGAAATTGTCCCTAAATTGGCGTGTTTTTGTCTTTTTGGCCTATTTTTTCATTTTTACCCCTAATTTTTAATTAATTTTTTTTTAACCAACCGATCATCAATCATAACAACGGTCACAACAATAAAAAACTATTTCTCTTTAGACAAAAGCGGTAAATTTGAAGTGGATGAATTAATTAATTGTTTATGGAAAGACTTGAAATTAAGATTGATTTCCAAACAATTAACAAGTTATATGATTACACTGATCGCGTTTTCTTAATATCTCTGTTTAATATTTTTAAGAAAAAATACCTTTTTTACGCTAGCGAAAATTGTAGAAAAATAATAGGACATAACGATATTAATCAATTTATGTAAAAAAATTCAAAAAAATGAGTAACAATGGAAAAAATGAGGAAAAAAACTCATAATCAAAAGTTAATCGTGGTAATTACCAAGATTAAATTTTGATCAAGACTTCAGAGATCAATTAAAGATGATTTCGGTTGGTGAAACAACAATTTGAACTAAGATCAATTGATATCGGTTAGTGAAATAAGTTTTTTAATCCTCTAATTAAATTGGTAAGGCATAAGATGTAATATACATGTCCGTCAGCTCGATATTTTTACTTTGAGCTGATTTTTTCAGCTTAAAGTTCAAGCTACATATGAAAATGGACTTAATTGTTCAGTTAATTGTGTTTGTTTGAATTAGGTTAGGTCTTCGCTAATAAGGGTCGCCATGACCAAAGAAAGGCCTGGAGGGCCTGAGACAATCAAACCGAACTTTAAGCCGAAAAAATCAGCTGAAAATTGAATATATTGAGCTGACGGACATATCTTATGCCTTACCATTAAATTGACCGGAAATTAAATCTGATCCGAGATCAAGACTTGATCATGGTTGGTGAAACACAAAAGCTTTGATCAATCCATTCAAAGAATATTGTAAGGAAAATCGGGTTTA